TTAATGAGGGTCTATCGAAGATGAAATAGTTCCCCATCTGTTGTGTCATTGGAACAGATTCGCTTGATCCTCGAGGATAAAAAGTGAATTAAGTTCCTTTTTTTACTTAATGGAACCCAACTATGGAAGTTCATGTATTGTCCATTCCAAGTAGGTTTTCTGTATATAGATCTCTGTAAAAAACCGTCAGGCATTCTTTTTAAACGGACATCAAGAAAATGAAATTCATGGTTTGCCTCTGCTTCTAAGGTAAATTGAATTGATGGGTGACAATTATTGAAAATATTCAAGATTTCATTGACGTCCATGTCTTCTTCACAAATAATGAAAGTATCATCCATATATCTCTTATATAAATGAAATCTCTCAATTATTGGTCGAAGTACCGAATTTTCTAGATTAGCCATGAAACAATCAGTCAAGAGAGGACCCAATGGAGAGCCCATTGCAACTCCATCTATTTGTCTATAGAAAACATCATTAAATCTAAATTGTACGTTGAGCGTACATCGTAGTAGTAGTAGTTCTTTAAGGTAATGTTTTGGGATACACATATCAAGATTATTGTTTTCAATATAGTCACATAAAAAACAAATGGTTTCTGTGAGAGGAACATTTGTAAAAAGAGAAGTGACATCTAATGAGAACATTTTCTTGCCGGTTACATTGATATTTCTAATTGAGTCGACAAATTCAAAGAAGTCGAGAGAATTGTATTTGTTGATATGATTTTTAACAGGTTGTAAAATGACAGCTAACCATTTAGCGATCAAGTGATAAGGAGAGTTGTTCATATCAAGTATAGGACGTAGTGGGGCATTATTCTTATGAACTTTTGGGAGTCCATATAGTCTTGGTATAACGGAACCCGATGGTTTGAGGTGTTCATAGAGGTCACAATTGATAATAGACTCATCTTTCATTTTCCTTAAGGTTTTAACTAGCATCTGTTCAGTTTTTCAGTTGTGTCTTTTTGAACGATCTCAATAGAGAATTTGGCAGTATCAGATAATATCGAAGATATTTTGGTAGCATAGTCAAGACGATAAATAAGGACAATCCCTGCGTCCTTGTCTGGGCAACATAACACTAAGTCCTGATTTCTCCGAAGATCAGATAATTGAGATTTATGTTCGTTTGTGAGTAATCGACCAATTATAGGTGTTTTATTTACATGTTGATTACAACAATCCACAAGAGTTGTTTTGAAATGCCCAACATTTTTATTAGATACTGGAATAAGGTCATTTGTTTGTCGAATGAGGCTTTCAAACTGGATTTTAGCGTTGTGTTCATTGATGTTAGTAGACGTACTACAAAATTTAGGACCAAGGGATAATCTTTGTAGCTGAATAGTCGATAATGTTATACTTGAGTAATTGAAAACGTATTTCTCTGGAGATTCGGGAAAAGAAGCTTGCGTCTCGGTCTGTTTTAAACTTTTCATTAATTTCAAGATCACATCTTCAGTACGATTTTTGCTAACAATATCAATGTAATCTTTGAATTTGAAAAGTTGATCTTCTGACAAATCAAATAATGTGTGTGAACGTAATGAGATATTTCGTTCCGATTCTGGTATTCTCGACTTAATTTCATCGACATAATTGAGAGTAAGATGTTTCAAGGAGCGATGATTTGGATGAATATGGTTACGGTGAAATGATTTGAAAAATGGTCTCGGATATTCGTGTTTGTCTATACAGCTTCTCAGAAAACTGATTCTGGTATTCGCTATGGCAAGCTTGACAGAATAACTAAGAAACCCACTGAGTTCCTTGACTGTCACAGGATCCTTGCAGCTCTTCAGATAATTAAAATAACCCATAATGTCATTTCTCTTTCTCTTTTTCTCCTTCTCCTTTTCCTTATTCAATGACACTATGGGTTATTTTAATTATTAATCAATTTTTGCAGTTAAAATCTTTCACAAAGTTCTACATGGTGGGAAATTTAGCTTATTCACTGATTATAAACCCTTATTGTCAATTTTTGGGTTTATGAAAGGCATTCTAGTTTATACTGCAAATCGCCTTTAAAGATGGACTATAATGCTATTGCTTTATGACTACATTATCAAGTATAAATCTACCTGTGACTGTGGTCATGCTGATGCACTATCGCGCTTAATGAGTAATCACGAACTTGAAAACGGAGATACCGTCATTGCTTCTATATTGGTTGAAAAAGATGTAAACAGAATTTTAGTAAATGCAACTCAGATTCTTCCTTTGGTAGTTATTCGAGTTGCTTATCACACTCGTAGCGACTCTATCTTAGAATAACTAGCTTCGTTTATCCGACTTGGTTGGCCCCCCCGTGCAACATCCCATGAAATAAAGCAGCATTATCACTAACCATTATTAATGACTGTATTATGTGGTAGTTCCAAATAACTTACGCTCAGTCGTCTTATAACAATTATACACAGCTTATAAATGCATTAGAAGAACGAAGGCTACTGCTTGGAGCTATGTGTGTTGGCCTAACATCGACGAGCACATCGAAGATTAAGTGCGTACATGCAAAAATTATGTTGCAGTTCCTAAATGCCCATGTAAAGAGAAACTTCATTCTCGGTCATCCCCAAAAGCACCTTGGCAGCGCTTACATATTGATTTTGCTGGCTTATTCCAAGGTACCGATTTTCCATTTGCATCGACGCTTATTAAAAATGGCCCAAGATTTTTCTCATGAACCATGTCACTTCTCAGATCACTATCGTGAATTTACTACAATTGTGTTATATTTCGATGAGAATAATGAATGGCACCTTTTGAGAACTATTTATGGATCAATAGGATAAATATATTTTTACTGTATAATTGTTAAGTAGATAAGCTACACGTATTCATGTTCCTCTTATTATAAGCTTTATCTTGACCATTCTTGAGTTCTGCCCTGTCTATTAATTACAGTCTCTTACATTCACAGCCACATTTAGCTAAACCTTGTACAAATGTTGTTTCCTATTTTATGGTACGGTGTGGTTTGTTTGGTTGGTATATAAACCCAGTATGTTTGAAATACATGATTCTTATCTCAGAGGCTGAGATTGGTGTTCTGGACTTAACAGGCAGGGATAGACAGGAGGAAGGACCGATAAAGACTCTAAGCTACTCGTACTTGTTTTACGCGTCATTGGTGCGGGCGATAATTCACTGTTCTCTAATTGGCGGTACATTAATAAGGCACAACCCCACAAGTTATAATAATGGGCTACGGGGTGAAAAGTAAAGAACCAAGGTCAGTCAGTAATTGGACGAAAATCAGTGTAATTTTACTGTTCTGGAGTCTCAGTTGTTTTCGTATCGGGAAATGGCACGCAGTTTACTTCCTCAGTTTTCCCACTGTTTTGTAGCAAGTTTGGAGTTAGATATTTCCGTTCAACTCCATACCTTTCACAATTGAATGTTCAGGCCAAAAGGTTTGTGGACACTTTCAAAAGAGCACTACTGAAGGCGAATGGGGAGGGGAAATATAAGAAATTCTTGGTGGTCTTCTATTGGTCGACAGAAAAACTCTAAATCCATCAACAGCAAATCAAATGTCTCTATCAGAAATCATGTTTGGAAGGAAAATTAAAACTGTCCTCAATGCTGTTAAACCAAAGTAACAAGGTGTTGGAAGAAGAAACCAAAACATAGAGACTCAATCCAATTTCCATTATAGACTAAAACGTCGAATATTTCAAAAGAACGGGGAAGTATACGTCCGCGATTTCCGATACTCACCTCCTCAGTGGACCTGTGAACTAATACTTGAGAGACGAGGGAAGGTAATGTATGTGGTAAAAGCTGAAGGTCAGAAATGGATACGTCATGACAGCTGTATACTGGAATATCCTGTCACTTTACAGGAAAGTGAGAAACTGGGCTCAATGTGGAGAAGTCTCCTAAGCATTTCCGATGTGGGAAGTCCAACAACCCAGAAGCACGAAGAACCAGGACAGAAGCACATGGGAAGATCATTACGGAAACGCAAAAGACCAGACTTTCTCCTGGTTGACCCGAAAAGGAAAACATACAAAGTTTCCTGGGGGAGATATGAATGATGTTATCGTAAATATTATTTTCAACTAATCGTTCTTTTTGTATTTATTCCAGTCAGCCAGTTTGGACAAGTTTTGTAAGGATCAAAACGCTAGTGACTTTCCCTTTCAAATGGCAGTTATAACTTTCTTTCTCAACGAGGAAGATGTGAATAGAGAAATAGAGAGGTCATGACGAACAACAGAAGCTATTTTTGGAGATATTATTTCACTTAATCCAAAGTCTATAAAATAGCAACATTTAGATTTGTCCCAAGGTTATTTTATAAACCATAAGCTTTCGTTTGATGTATGATTCACGGCCATACCGTTTCTGATTCAAAGCTATTGTAATTTAAGCGTAACCTTTTGTACTCCATTTTTCTACTTTAACGGTCAGTTTGGACATACTTTATTTTTTAAATGTCTGCGGTCGTGTTAGTCATCCAATTTTTGTGTCATTTTATACTACTCGAAATCAGGGATAAATCGAGTAGTGTTCCAGCTGACTCGTCTCCTCCCTCTCTCGCTAGTCAACCAATCAGAGGACAGAATAATTTTCGTCTCTGTGCCCAAGGTCGTCAGTCTCAATTCGAACTCGCGTATTTCTAGCCTCAAAGCTGAACCAGTTGGTCTATCGTGTCAAGGCTTTAACGTTGATCGAGACAAGCTCTCTTCTGTATATTGTTGGGTATAAGAGGTTGGACGTGTTATATTTGCGTTCCGAGTTCGAGCTTGAATTGGTCGATCGCCAACAACTCAGAAATCCATCCGTTTTTGACTCGCGTTCCGTGATAAGGAAAAAACATTATGTAATCTTATTCCAGTTCATTGATGAGTAACAGGACTGTAACGAAGACAATAAAATATATTTCTAAATTATTTAAGTATACAATTATATGGTGCTATTTGTGATCAGCTACTATTTCACCAATATGTAGCTGATTACTGAATAAAAAGACACTTTCGCTTAATCCAAAGAACGCTTTCGAATTGGTTGATTGACTCTTACCCTTAGATCAGTAAAAATTTCAAAATGAAGGAGCCACTCGTTAGAAACTAAAAGAAACAATGATTTTCTTGAATATAGAAATCATACATGATAGTAAGTGACAGAGATACGGTGAATCTCCCGCTGGCTCTAAGATTTCATTTAGTTTTCAAGTATAAACTGTTGACTTGCTAAAAACAGGAGGCACAACGAAATCTTGTAGGTGATTGCTTAGATTTGTGATCAGGAGAATTTCAGGACTATTAATGAAGTTTATAATGCATAATTATAGTACAACTTACTTAGAATTAAATAGATTAGTGAGGATAACTTTGTATCTGAAGTACATTTTATCTTAAAACTGATCCGTTTTAACATGTGATTATGTACTGTGAAATCAATGTAACAGGAATTATTTCATTTACTAAAAAATAAAATGCACTTTTTAATAAATCATATTAATTAAAAACTTTGTATCTAAAGTGCATTTTATATTCCAATTAACATCACGTTTTTCAAATTAATCTAACTAGTGTTGCCTTGATATAAACTAGTCATATGCTAATTAACATATGAATTACATAATTAGTAACGAATAACAATTGTGTTATCTATACCTTTCATAATTGCGTTTCATTAAATAAAACAGATCAACAATCAGTTATAATAGTTCTGTTATGAAATGATTTCTGAGGCGAAATCTTGTAACCTATTTCAAAACATGAGTGATAAATCTTCATTGAACACGTTTTAAAGCATTTGACCGACATCAATAACATTTACATTTCTACTTTATTAAGAGAATAAACGTTTCCGATTCTTAATAATAAGCTTGTAGACGTTTTCTGATAGTTTTAGTATTCATATTCTCATGTCTGTTTAACGTAGACCAACTGGCTACATCACGTTAGCAACCGTCCAGCAATTTACGAGTACTATATTTCATGCTCTGACAAGTGTACATTGCTTAATCAACCTAATTAGATTGAGGAAGACGATAAATCACGAATAAAGCTCCACTATCAAATTTATAGGCTTTTAAAATTATTTTCTTCTTCAGGACAATGTAAATGTCTATTAATATGAAATTCTTACTGGATGTTTAAAAGACTGTAGTTTATAATTAAGTCTCTATATACTACTAAATTTGTTCATCATTTACGTTGATCCACTCGAATAACCGTAGAGATAAATGCGGGCATAGCAACTCTATTATGTTTACCATTCGTTGCTTTAAACAAATAATTATCAGAAACATTAATTGGCTTTTTCTCTAACAAGAGAATAAGTAAATTGTATAGCCAGGTGTTTAATATTTTTAAAAGGAATATAATAGAATCAAACAATAATAAATATTTTAACTCGATGAATAACCATGACTGATCAGTATAGAGGGAAAAACGAAAAAAACGTAAGTTAATCCTCAAATTTTATTCAATTAACTATTATATTCTTAAGTCAACTAATATCTTACTGCAGTTAAAAATCTATTGAATATTTTCTTATAGATACATTTAGCTGATTTATCTAATTAATCAACAATGAGTTTTAATTGTACAACCGTCGATAACTGACGTTAAGATTGAGAGTGTATTAAGAGGATTAAAAAAGTAGATATTTCTACTTGGAAAATGTAAAACAATGCGAAATTTCTTTACCATTATGAATCTTTTCAAACTCATTGTGGCATAGTCGTTCTATGATTGATCATACACGAAACCGTCACAGCAGTAGTTTATGAAAGTAATTTTGAAATTTAACTATTTTTGTAATACTCTGGATGTAAAAATAGTGTGATAGGAAGATTCTTTAATAGAAATTTTTTTCTGAAGGCCAATTAGAATTAAACTTATTTCAGTAACACATCCATGTAAGATTTCTAATTTACACACTGATTTATTTGTGTTATTTATCTGTGGTTAATCTAAGAAATGAAGATGCAAATATCATCCGATTTACAACTCGTCAATCAGATGTAAGTGTATCTCTTTAAGATTAAAAACTAGCAATTAATATCTCAGTCACCACGAAGTTATCCAATGATCTATTGAGTTAAAAATAAGATTATAGGTGTTGATTGTTATCAAATATTTTATTTAGCTGTATCAATTCATCCTGAAATTTCACATTTGAATCTTAAAAACATTTTTCTAACCAACACTGTTTTCTCAGAAAGTTAAATTAAATCCTGACCAACAGCATACGCCTGTCAACTTCTCTCATTTATCATTCGGCGTTTGTCTGATTAGACTAGCATATTACCTTTCCTTCCTGGAAAATATATCCGGCCATTTGGATTCAGCATTAGGGACTGAGTTGAAGGGACATCACTAATGAGTAAGTTATTCCTGCTTATCAAATGATCATCATGACTTAGGTAACAAATGAGTGTTACGGTTCTCAAGTGTTTACTTATTTCTTTCTAACGATTACTTTTGGATCATATTCTTAATATTTCTTTTAAAAGTTGGTTTGATAATAATGTTCAAGACTATGCGTTCATTTACATTTTGAAACGTATAACAAAGAGTTGAAGCGTTAAAATAGTTGTAAGCAATTCTATCCAATTTTAACGTCAACGCTACAATGTGAAATTTGGATTATTTTACTTTACTTTCCAAATTACAGTTTTTCATACATTTTACAATTAACTTCTCTAATTTAAAGTCATTTCATTTATTTTAGTCAGACATCATAGATGAAAGCTATTTTTCACCAGGACAGAGACCTCACTCAGTTGAAATAATGAGGACTTTAGATTTAGATGAATCGTTCATTGATCCTTTTCTGGAGCTAGCTCCGTTTTCTGCACGCTCTGAAAAAACTTATGATGAAGGACGCACAAAAGTAGAACACAGACAGATAATTGGGAATTTACCGATACCAATAGATAATTTAAAAGCTCACCTACCATTTTTAGCCACTCATCTACAAGAAGCTCTAGCTGAATCAGTTTCTGCAGGAAATCCGAATCAAGTAAGTCATTAGATTAAAATACAAACAAAGCCCTTTGATTAATAAAGTTTTTCTGGAGATTTTGTGCACGTTAGATGTTTCCATCATTAAAACTAATGGTTTGAAAAATATACTTTAACAAACTTTATACACTTAACTATTAAATCATCGTAAAGTATATATCTGATAGTTTACAGTGATAGTGAATAATGTAAGAGACCTGTTTGATAATTACGCTTCACCGGAATAGCCCTCTCCATTGAATTCATTTAGCTGTAAATAAACTTTTGGTCACATATGTCCTAATAACAATGAAACAAAATATTATTCATTATGTATTCGGACAACTAGTATTATTTTGAGTAGAATTACTTACTGGACTTCTGTAAAAATTTGGGATGAATACTTTCTATTCAAGTGGCAGGCTTGTAGAATACTTAGTAATTATAAATCTCATAGCTCGGCTCATGGGAACTTGGGTTAGTAAGCGGAAGAGTTTTGTCACAAATTAAATGATAACTTAGAGATTTTCAGCTTATATGATCCACATAAATCCAATATACAGTACAGAACTTTATTAGTTGATATGAATTTGTCAAGAAAAGTGAAAATTCCCATTTTAACATTTGGTAAATAAAGAAGAACGAATCGAACGAAGAAATTTCTTTTCGTCTTCGCTTGATTGAAACTTGCGCTATAAATAAGTTGTGAGCGGAAAATTATTTCATTTTTCTTCAAACACTTAAAATTATAAACCTTAGCTTATATAAGTAGAATAGAATAATAATTTTTAATTTGCTTTCTCAATGCAACTCAAAATCAAGTTAGTTATTTTACTCCTTTAACACGTATTGAATTGTAGCTAAATAGCCTAACCTACTTTTCTGTATCTGCAAAAAGAGGAGTCATTGCTATACACGTCTGAAGTAAATGAGACTTCATTCACAGATGTAATGAATAAATAGCTCGATAACAGTCAAAAGTTTATGATACATTTAACGTGAAACATTCAACGATGGATAAATTATTGAGTGCTTTAGTGACAGAATGAACATAATGTTGTACATCCATACTGTTGTGAAGTTTACTGAAAATAAGATTTTCCTGAGAAAATAGTGAAGGAAGTAAACAAAATTTAATTAAAAAGTTATTTGGCGAAAATATCTAATTATAACATTTTATTACTCAATGATCTCAAAGATTAATGACAGTTCTGGTTAATATTAGCTATTGACTTCCATATGTAAAGTAGAACTGTGTGATCTGTACGATTTATATGGTTTTCAGAAAAAAATTACCATATATATCATTCATAATCATGAAAATTTGATCGTCCGAATTAAAGTAATTCTAATGCTTTTTCCTCAATCCTGGTCTGACAGTCTTCAGGGAAATAGTGAGAAGCATCAAAATAGCAAATAAATAAAAAAACAAACCAATTTAGCAACCCAAAATAATTGTTTCAGGTTAAGAATTTCCCTTTAAATATGAGTACAAGTCATTTATTGTGAACTACAATCATGTTCCAAGATATAATCTGATGTGATATGCATGTTTTTCGCCAGTGAATATGGAAAGTTGGTATTTGTTCTGGAGCACCAGGTCAAGTTTCATGAGTGCAGATAATTGACACAATGACTGACTTGACCGTGTTAATTTACTTTGGCCTCGTATGTCTGGTGGAGAGAAATGAAAACAGTTCAAATTTAAGTCTGGTTATCCTGACCAATCCTTTGACTAAGGTTGTGTTAGACTAAAGGATGGAATTTCATTCCCATCACTGAGATTTTGATCAATATGATTTAAGTGTACTTACATCTTTATCCTCAGCTCTCTATATTTCCAACATTTTTCAGTCAAATCTGAATGGAATTTTGGTAAACGCTAAGTGATTTTTTTAATAGACTCCTTAGACATGTCTACTTAGGTAGTTCTAAGTTTATTTAGTTATTTTAAGTGTGTGGAGTCTATAATAATTACATATGTAGTAATTACGAGTCTCATATCAATTTACGTTAGTAATCCAATCATTTTTATGATTAAATTGTTATATAACAAAAAGCAGAATAACACTCTTGACAGGTCACAATACAACTAAACAATTACATAAATACACCGTGATTTCACAAAGGTACTCTGTTGCGTTTATCGGTTCACTATTGTTAATTATTTTTAACAATGCAGTTGTTAGATACTGTCCGATACTAAATGCATTTTCAAAAACTATGATTAAAACTCCCTTGAACAACAAAATTTACGAAACTAAAGTTATAGGTTTTCTTTTCAAATGCATTAAAACATAATGGAATACATTACATTCATTTTTTAAGAATTCACCTCTGTTGTTGTAAAGATAGATAGAAGTAATCAGTCAATCATTGACAAATCGGCACTTCATTTATCATCTTTATTTCCACATCGTGTGTTCAAAAATCGAGAGAGGAGACCACCTAAACAGAACTAAAGAATATTTAATATTATTTACATCTCCCATTACGACAGTAAGATCATTATAAATGAACTATCATTGAAAACGTTCGGAACAAGATGGATTTTGTCAATTTCTTCCCTAAATAATAGCACGTTATCTGTGTACGCTAAATCGAAAATGGGTTTTCAAGTAGAAGATTAATCAGTCAATAAACCACTTTTAACGTAGAACTTGGGATACATGTAAATCTGTCTAAGCCACCACACCAATTTAGCACAATATGATGAAATTATCATGTTGAACTAAAAGTAACAGAGGTTGTAGCCGTGTCGATAAAAGTAGAAACGATTAGGTATAAAAAAAGTATAAGAAGGTTTTAGGACAAAGAATCTAACATACAACATCTTCACAACAATGATCGATTATGAGCCGTATTACTCAATGTCCCAACTATTGATTACGATAACTGCTCGAACTCCGATCTTCAGCCTACTCCTACATCAGACGACATCACCTGTCTAGGTAGCCTGTGGATTAACATACGTACTACGTATCTTGACCATTTCAATCGGCCGAGTCGGTAGGTATGTCTGCGTGGCCAGAACCTGAATAAGGGAGAATATATGGCTCACAAACCCACATCTACGTCTCAAACCAATCCGGTTTTCCGAATTTACATTGAACGCCCCCTAGTTAAATGTTAAACTAATGTTTTATACATTAAATTAGTCAAACTTATTCTACATTAGTTACCTCCTGTCCTTTCTTATAAACTGAGATGATCAGAGATCGATGTCAGTCAGATGAGTTTACATCCAGTTCACAGACTCTAGATAATAACTCAGTCAATCCAACTGCCAAAACTGGACCACCAATCTTCGGAGTCAATCTATTGGGCCAATAAAATCCCATATTGTGAAACACCGATAAACGTATATGAATTACCTGTCGATAATAAAACTATTGATTTCCAAACTTAGGCCAAAAAGTTTTTCTACAATAAGGCGTTGATAGTTATAAATATTTTCCAAAGGTTGATCAATACATCCGCCAACCTCCAAATAGGCTAAGTCATGACTATTATGTATCAGTATTTTACACAAATCTAATGAATTACTTGATGGGGATTATAAGCGATCTGAATAAACACAATTTTCTGATTAAGACTTTTAATGTGTTTTATTTACGCTGAAACATAAGTGTGATGAAGGTAAACCAAAACAGTAACTCATATTCACCTGAGAAATAACAAAATCTCCAAAGTAAGTAGAGAAATTAATCACTTATTATGAAGGTTAATACTATGTTGTGACATACACAGACGAAATAAATATACAGAAAACAATGTTTGGAATTGTCACCAGTAGATTTCATCAAAGTAAGAATAATTTGGGTCGATTAGCATGTTTGAGATAACTGTTAGCTCTTCATATATAGATGGAATTTGAGCTAAGTATAATGGTGCTGGGGTCGTTAAACACCACAAGTTTGTCGTTAAAGGGAAAGTGTTTGGTTGATTCTGAATGACTGCATTTTTGTCACTACGATTCAATTTTGATGGTCTTTTTGTGAATTTTGTTCTTCTATAATCCATGTGTCTAGCTCGTTTTTTAATGGCTTTTTCTTCAAAGTATGATATAGGACAATTATTCAAAAGACGTATTATATACCTCAAACGATGATTGTTCCTACATCCCTCTGATAAATTAGTCGAACTCGACGTCTGTGACTCATAGGTTGATGATGATGAGTCTATTTGAGAAACTGCAGCATATTTTTTGGACTTTTTCATTTTATCCATAAGTTCATGATATTCATTTTCTTTTACTGGCTCATCAGCCTTACTACAATCTTCATTACTCAAAACATCTTCATTACGGTCTTTAAGAAATGTAGAAGAACATGAACAGTTACATTTTAAATTATCACCGTATTCCTGCTTTTTCTTCTTCTTCTTCTTATCATTTCTTCTCCTGTTTTTACAAAGCGCATTTGAATCGAGAATGATTTTTAAAGCTTCCAGCCATTCAGAAGTTTCATTTTTCTTTTTACAATCCTTTTTAATATCGTTCGTTTCACCCACATCCATAAGCAAATATTTTGCCAAACGTAGTAGCATTAAATTAAATTCAGTATCTTCTACTTCTTTGAGAGCTTCACTTTTAAGCAATTCATGATGAAGATACTGTTTAAGATTCTGTCGATCCAAAGAGTTGTTATCTATAACCTTTATAAGCTCTGGTTGTCTTGACGACAGAATAGGTTGTTCAGTTTCACTATCACACGAAACTGTTCTGAAATCAAGGGAACTTTTTGCCGCCTTTCGAATATGTAATGATGGTGTTTCCAAGTCTAATTTTGGTTGTAACTGGTTTCGTTCTAAAAATCTATCTTCTGATGTCGTTGAAAGATCTTTGAAATGGTTTTCTGGAGAGGCAGAACGTCTTGTGGTGGGTGCAGGCGTCTGTGTATTTTCATTTTGTATACCTGGTCTAACGCTTAATACTGAATTAGTGGGAATCTTGAGTTTAGGTTTTGTCGTCTTAGACTTTGCAACAAAAGATAATGGGTCCTTACTAGTTGTATTATTTCTTGTAGAATAATGGGATTCAATATTTTCATCACACTTAAATTGTTTCGGCTTTACTTTAGATAATTTTATTGAAGTGTTCTCGCGATGTTCAGTTCTAGGTTGACTGCTTTCAAATTTGTTTTGTCTCTCAGTTATTTTTAGTTTCTTTTGTATCAAATGCTCACCACTACCTTTCGAAGACGATATTGTTTCTTCCTTATCTGTTTTTTTCAAAGCTCTTCCACTTTGTTTAGAGGCACTCTTCACTGCTTTTTTGGAGACTTGTTTTTTCCCTTTTTTAGCAGCTTGTATTGCTGCTTCCTTTGCAACCTCTTTAGCAGCTTTCTTACCCACATGACGAGCAGCTACACGTCCGCCAATTCGAAGACCACTCATACTCATTTTGGTAGCTAAACTGGCCATTGCTCACAACATTCTTGATACGTGTTTAACGTATTTGCAAAGAATGATTGATTGGACATACAACCTTATTAGATTACAAGTAATAAAGCGTTTTAGTAATTATCTAAGCATCATATGATTTATCGATCTGTTTGAATTATTTCAAGTCTATGGTTTTATACAGGATAAACTAAGCTTGATTTTCCGACCAAATTTTTAAAACAAATAGTATTTATTTTAAGTGAGCTTGGTGAACTCATATTTCTGAAAAGAATAACATCTAATGAGAACTTATTATCTGCATTTTGATGTTGGATTGACTTCTCCATGTTTTTTCTTAAAAAGCAAATCGCAGCGTCCAATACTCAGTTGTAACGTATGGATGCAAAGTAATGATTGAATAAATGTGGTCGTCACTTTGAGTGAAGTAATGAAATGGTGGAGTGAAATTATTTCTAACAGCTTTTGTATATAAACTGGGGAGTATTTTTGTAATTTTATAATTTTTTCTAATTTCACTTCAGTTGCAAATTAACTGAATTGTTGAGTAAGTGTGTAGTAAAATTTTCATCAATGACTTCAAGTTAATCAGGCTGATATACAAACATTTATCACTGAAACAGTAATTAATGTGATTCTAGAAACTTATTTCTAGGTAGAACATCTAACTAGCAATACGAAATCGTCTAGTAATGAATCAAAGGATATAGGGTAAAGAAGAATAGGTTATGGTGTTTCGGCGAAATTATTCGTAATGTTTTAGCAGTTAAATCATTCAAGGCGTATGCTATAGTGTCAGATTTCCAAACATTTTGACCCCTTTTAATTCTACTGATTCGATTGTTAACGTACTAATTTTCTTATGTAAACTATTTAATCAGTGAGGTTACACTTATCGTGGTGACTGAAATCTGAAAAAATTACTGTTTTATAGAAACTTTATGCACAATAGTACAGAACTAAAACTGTAATATTCTTAATAATTAAACAACATGGTTGTGTGATAAAATTTTCGACTGATAAACGTAGTAATGATAGTTTAAGTACTTGAAAATTCTTCATTTCATGGTGTATAATATTAAAAAAAGAAGTTTATGACGAAAATTCATTCCCCCTAGATTGCGCATCATTCATAAAAGATGATGGATTATATTAGCTCATTTGTCTAAAATTCAGTTTTCTTGTGAATAAATCTGTCGCAAATCAGTAAAGAAAACCCACAAATTTTTTTCGAAAATAGTTTGATTTTTTTTCTTCGAAGAATCCTATGACGAAAGTAACTAAATATTCACATGACATATGTATATAAATTGTAACAGTATTCCTTTCTGCTTTACAAATATTGTTCGAATTTTCTTTCAAACATTTACTTATTCTGTAGGTTACAAGTGTAGGAAATCATTACTCGTTGCAATTTGTTCAATGGATTCTGTGCTAAAAGTGCATCGCCAAGCTACATAGTCCATTGACTGATTGGAAAGGATAGACAGTTGAACTGTGAATCAACGGTATAATTGTTTCTTGTTCATGATGTGTAAAATTATAGATGTGCACAACTAAAGTGGCGTACATTGGGAAGAAATAGCTGCTCAATGTATCATAATTTCAATGATTCTCCAGCTGATGTCAGTCTATGACAAAAGAATCTCCCACAATAGGTCCAAATCATATTCTGTAGTCTATTACTTGAGTGTTAGTACCATAGTACTTAAAAAGAAAATGTTATTTACTGATTGTTTGGTAAAAGGAATTTTTGGCTGGTTCTAAATAACTCATTTTTGTAAACTGAGTGTTCAAATCAGGTGGTAATTATACAAGAAAATGAGCATTGACGGGAAACAATTCGGACAAGTAATTAATAATTAAAACATCAGGGATTTTAAAGTCCTTCAGAAAACGTAAACATGCAAGTAGTTTTAAACACTTGGGAGAAATTTTATTCAATGTTCGTTGAAAATACCCTGAATACGTTTGGTAATCAGAGGATATTCCTTTTAGGTTTAACCTCAATATGCTTCTCGTTCACAATTTACCTTAACAAGTAAAAGTGTGAGCTATCAAGAAACTCAAACGAATGATTCATATACCGATTATAATAGTCTGTGGAAAGTGATGTGCCAAACATATGTATTGCTTAATTATTCAGCTCCATTACCCCATTAAATATGAGTTGGTTTATGAGCATAAAAATGCAATCTTCCTCAAATAAACCACAATAATTTACTAATATCTTTACGTGTAAAAAGTTTTCATTACATTAAAATTCTTAAGCTCCATGGTAACGTACGAAAATCATGAAATAAACTAAATTGTTTGTGCATAAAATTTATCGATACTGTTTATCTCAATTAATTTTACAAGTGTTGTAGTGCTGGACAACGTCCTGGACCAATCAATACAAATCTATCACCAGGATTCCATGAATCTGTTCACTGTGAACATCGCTCACCGCCAACTCCAACACCAAACATTTCCTCAGTAGCGATTCAACATATTCGACAAGAACGGCGTCAACAGCAACAACAAAAAACCTGCACAGTAGATGATTCCCCCCCTTCATGTGAAGTAAGTTTGTGGTAATGTAAATGGTTCTCACCTTTTAGTCCTAAATTGGATGATCGTTTATAACATGTTAAAATATTCAACTTTCATTTTTACATCAAAAAGAAACATTTAGAAAAGGGGTGAGTATGAGAAGAACAATGTCAAACCAATCGGTGGTAGTTTGAAGACTGGTTATGAATAAAACGTAACCATGGGTTTCTGTTTAAATGTCACATCCTATATATCAAAAATGAAATGCACTTTGTTGTAGAGAATAAAACTATTGCTACTAACTTAGCTGGCACATTTTAAAATTTAGTTTCATAAATGACTAAAGTGTTGCTGGTTTGAAACTCATTTCGGTTTATAGCACATTAGTTCGAAACCCTGTTAAGCACTTGGAATTGTTTGATTAAGAAGTGAGATATTAAATAAACAGGTTTTCAACAAGATATGAATTTCATTCTGTGACGATTTTGTGTGAAATATGATAATTATCATACTAAGCCTTGTGATTATGCAGTGAATTTAATTTACCCTCTAAAAATAAATTGCTAAATCATTTCACACCACAGCAATGTGAATCAGTGAATAGGTAAAATCTTTTACCATAAAACACTGAAAATTCTATTCACTAGTAGATTGCTTTCGTACACACTTTAATACGTAGAGGTGACTTTGAGCTAATATTAAATGTTTAGAGTAGCTTATAATGAACTAAGATAAAACAACTATTTACTTACTGGTTTTCATCGATTCATGATGATACAGGTAGTCGAAGATAATATATTTGTATTTGATAATCACCCAAAAATATTATATTTATTCACTCACTTCTAGTTAATACTTGGATTTAGATAGTAAACAAAGCAGTTGAACAAATGATTCGAGCATGATTATTGCGTAACACAGAAAGATGTACTTCTGGGAGAGAAAAATTAAATGATAAAATGATTCCTTACAACTAGCTAGTGCTTGTTCGTAGTCTTTAATAGATTCTATGCAGTCTTTAATGTTTAGATCATAATCCTCTGCTTTGACAAATCAACCATGTGTAAAGAATATGTTGATTCGTACGATATATGGAGTTTATCAGTCGTTTTTATCAGAAACGTTAAGCTGAACGAAACAATCAAAGAAAGTTCTTGCCCAAAATCCTCATAATGAATAAAAATAACATTGAACCATTCTCTTTATTGTAGAAATACTTTATTCTGCATTTGAGAAGATACGTAAATAGCCTTTACTATGTCAGGTTGAAGGCTGTCTAATATTTAAGAAAGTGTATTTACCACCGCATATATTTGCGATGGAAATGTAGCTTCACTTTTCGTTCACTGACACAGTAAGGTTGAGAAGGGGTCAGCGAGTTTCACTAAAGCAAATCCACACACAAACAGTGGTTTTCCATAAGTGATAAGTGAAAATATATTTGTTGCTATGATTACTTAGATAAATAATTAAGACTTATAACTCAATAATAAACTGTATGATGAGTATATACTTTTCCCAGCCTTGACTAAACAGGACCTGATCACGAAGTTCCACTTCTACTTCTTTAATTAACTAAACTATAGGCTGAAATTTACAATCCTTTTACATTATGCAAATGATAATAATGATTCATGACTCATAAAATTATACTACAGTAAACTAAAGAGATCATAATGCTCAACAAATCTTGACTAATGTACAACCGAAGCATTTACAGAAAAACAATTAACGATGTATTCACTCGTTGTAAAAAAATAAATATCAAGCTCGTATATACATGATGCAATATTAATTCTATAGGGATATAATTTACTTAAAACTTCTTTGAAATACATAGTTTCTTTTGAGCATTACTGTTGATCCTGAGCTTAATTCAATAGTGTTTCCAAACAAATTTTGCTTTTTTAAAATCTCCGTTTATTTTAAGTATCCCTTGGCCTTTTTTTCTTTTTATCAGTTCAGTTTTAGTTCTCGATTTAACTTTATGTATAATTATGTATATGTAAATTTGTCTAGCTCTGTCATAACACCCATGAATTACAACATCACATTTGTCAAGAGAATATTGAGTATTTACAGAATCAATTGTTAGATATGAAACACCAACTGCAATACTGTCAAGAGAGAGAGAAAACTAAAGAACAATTATTGGAAGAAAGTTACAATACAACGAGACAATTACAAGAAAGCGTTACAAACTTGTTCCAACAGGTGTGAAATCTGTATTTATTTTATGTTGCTCCATTTAATATTTTCCTACCATGTTAATTTGTTTATGAAGAAACTGATTTATAGAGCTCCGTAGTCGAAGTCTATTTGATGATAATATTTTTTCGTCTTATTTTACCAGTAGATCATCAAACAGATATATTCATCTCGGATTACATCAAATTACTATTAAAATAATAAGTAGCTTAGCAAAAATGTCGATTCAGTTGATGAACCTAATCTTTCGAAATATATAGATGAATAAGATTCCAAATCATCTGTTAAACGAAAGTATGATCTCTGGAGTTCATCTATTTAGAAATTAATGCTCATGATTTTTATTTAAAACAATTTTCCTAAAGGAAATTTAAAACTTTTGACAATGAGTTACTCGAACTGCGAAGTAAGTCTGATTATCAGTCAAGTATTTTACCTGAAGTCTTCTTAACTTATGATGTTAATTTTTAGAAAAGTGATTCAAACACAAATATTTTAACCTTGTTAGCAAAATCAGACTGAAATTAGCATCATTACTATGAATTGGTACTTTATTTACCTGAAAAAAACTAACCACATAAATAGCACCATGAGCAATGCTGCTTTCCTACAGAGAAAGGAGGGATTAGAAAAGTTCAGCTATAAAAATCGAACACCTTATAATGACCCACTAATTTTGCAGCCTAGGTGGTTAGGTTTAGTAAGCAAGAAGCCAATACACCCAATATTACTATCAAAAAATGCCTTTCATATATGGCTTCAAGAACCCGTTACTTAGTGTCAGTGGTTACATCCCCATGTTAAAAAATTACTCTTAATCCAGTTTCCTTTTTATACTACTCAAGAGGAAACATGCATAGTGTAGACAATCAACAGATGACTACTACCCATAAATCTCCGATAAAACCTGAGTTCATAATCTTCATAGTTGGATTTATTCTTTACTTCCTAATATATTTCTTACTTAAGATCTCAACATATATATTCTCGCCCTTTTCTCACTGAGTATACGCAACCCATGTTAGAGATTCATGCCCATGAAATTTTACTTTCTGCCTTCAAACTATAAATTGGGCCTTTCAATATGTGGGACGTACGTCAAATAACATCACACACTTCATTATGCAAGATTCTGTGTCTTCGATACCCCATACAGGATTAATGTTTGTTGATTCGCTTGACTACCCAGAGTCCATTTGGAGAATCGAGGTGACTGAGTTCTTTTGTTTCCGGATACTTAACCACAACTTCTCATGACTTCGCTGTTGTAAACATAATATTTAGTTCAATAGCAGAACAAGGATAAGAATGATCAAGGTCATATGTCACACATCAAAACAGAATAGTGCCTGTCGATAACATTCTAAATAATCTCACAGAGGGAAACATCTGAAGTTATTTAAAAGGCGTGGTGTTATCTACAAGAAAATCTCTTTAAATTAAAGTAATTAAGTTACTTTGTATGAACGCGATGGAAATCTAGAGGTATTTATATTTAATTGTAAGAAATCTATTAGGTGCGGTATATTTATGTTCATTCTAAGTTAACCCTTAAACAATGTTACTAATGTCCATTAGATAATAGACACTCAAATCACAACGGTAGTAGTGTTGACTAATTGAAATGTATGCTATACAGTAGTATGGATATTGTCGAGAGGTTTGCACTGAGAGATTACTACTAGTACTGTTGTTCTTTGAGGATGGTGAAAAGATAGTAGAAATTGATGAGACCGTAGCATGGAAAAGAAAATGCAGTTGAGGGGAGAAAGTAAAAAACTGGGTCAGTAGTTACCTCATCTAACTTCAGGAGATCTTTGAAATATAGGATAGAGATCTGAAGAGCGAGTATTCCGAAAGGGTTTTTTATCACTCAGCTTGAAGTTTTCTGTTAATAACTGAAAAATATATACTACTCTGAATCACAATAAACACTAACAACTGGGGAGCATACAAGTACCTTTGCAATTACAGTTACTACCGTACATTTTTACTGCATAAACGTCACTTTGTTAACACGACTACTGGGGTTCCGCTATAACGGAACGGATATTTTAAAAGTCGTTTTTTCAAATTAGTAACAACCATAATTTTGTCGTATAGTTATCAATTAATAAGATTATTATGCAAATATTTCTTTTACCATAACCTTTCGATTAACCCACTAAATACTGTTGTATTATTTACTATTCCTAATACATTCCCCGTTTATTATTCACGGTTTCCACTAATTACAACTGCTTTTGGGCTTGATCATGTATAATTATTACTTTTCATTTGATGGCGCAATGTTGCCTGGAGTATCTGTATGTAAACTACGTCTAATTGAAATACAACATAGGGATTACACGAGCAAAATAGAAAGTGGAAAAGGGCGCGGTTAAAATGTCCCACATTGGTAAGGAAGTGAGCGCTGAAAGGAGAATAAAATGTTTGACTATGAGAAATATGTTCGGTTCCCCCTCTGTCCCTCTTCCCTATACCAAGCAAAAGTAGTTTTCTAAACGTCTAATGACTTGTCTGCTTCCAACAAATACTGTAATTCTTCGAATTCGGTAACAGATTGTTATTCTTATTACCCTAATCACCTTATCTCGTATGTCTATTTCGAATAGCTTGGGGATAACCTATTTAGAGGGATGTTTCGAAAATCCTTGAAGAATGTTTGTTGAATTTTATTTTAAATGAGTTTTAATTGCTAAAAGCATTCCTTTCTTTTTTAATTAAAAAGTCAAACTCAGCATTTCCCATAACACGTATTCCCGAAAATGCTGTCGTTTGTGATCTCTAGAGAAAATGATTGAACTTTTATTCGGTCAGTTGTTAACATCCGTGAAAATAAGAGTAAAATGACTAGGTTTTATTTAGTGTTCATTAGATGAACGGGTGGGACACATGCAATTGTCATTAATAATATAGGATTATTAAACATGTATACATTTCAGATTATCCATTATTTCAATTAAAACAATACTCAGATTTACGCTTGACAGGTAAAAACATTTAAATGGTGTACTTAAATTAAAAATCCAGCTACATCACAACAATATCTTATAGATGATTTCGCTGCAAAGGCGGTAGCAATTCACCATTTAAAACCTAAGCTATATGGGCAAAAGCGTCTAGTTAGTATGTTATCATTTCGTGACTAAAACTTAGTTTTCCACACGGTCAGTCGGTTATTGATACTTTATCTAAATGTTTTTTACGCTTTAGTTGCCCGTTATTATCATCTTCATGTTTCTAGTTTATTTTTCATTTTTCTCATACTCCCTAGGCGGATAATTATCTTCCACACATTTGATTTTGTCTTGTTACTTTCTTTTACTTTTCAGTCGTTACACAATATAATTTTATCCCTGATGATGTGTACTACTTCATACCTTTTGACAGACTAAGAGGAGTATTAAGCGTAAGCAAAGCTACAAAGACATTTAAAATCCAAACCCCGACTCCCTGAGACATTGATAACTCCTCAGCTTGAAAGGGCTACAACAAAATAATCCCGGTAATTTCAAATGAATTTAGCACTGGGTAGAGTGTTAATAATAAATATATTTTTGTTATATCCCAGTGAGTAGAAAAATTGTATGTCTGACGTTTCGTGACTTAATGTACGCCACTTCATGAAATGTCAGAAATATAATTTTTCTACTTAATGGGATATAACAAAAAATATATTTATTATTAATCCAGGCAATATATTAACTGACCGAATATAATACATCAAAAGAGGGTAACACCAATTTAATGTAGATGTTAAAGGTACATTATAAGGTTTTCGTAACGTATTTTGACATGTTCAAATGTGCACATTCAAATAATATGCTTTTCCCCGTAGACAGTCTAGTGTTGATCTGTTTTGGTAATCTTCTACGACCAGTTTGATACATAATGCCACCTCCTCATACTTTCTTTTTAAGTGCTGTTACTGGACTTTTGCAACAAGCTATTCGATTTTCAAGTCATTTAGACTCTCTTTCTGAGAACATTAATAAATTTCTATATATTTGGATGAGCGGTAGCAACAAGTTGGCTAAAGATTCTATCCCACCCGTCCACGACATTGTTCGTTTTAGGTAGGTCTTTACAACATAGAGGAAACCGAACATATTTCACATCATTAAAAATTTTATTCCCTTTTCAACGCTCACTTTTTTCAATATGCATCTTTCTGATGATCACCCCTAATAATGTACGTCCTTAATAATGTGGACCCTTATTAACCGAGCCCTTTAGAAGGAATATTCAATACAGTGGAGGCTGGTTCCCGATTTCTGGAAAAAAGATAGGGTAAAGAGAGAAGAAACAGATCCTTGGACCAATGAGGACTCAGCAGCTAAACCAAGGTTACTAGTGTTGGTTAGATGTGCAATTGATCGAGCCGGTGATACCAAATTATGTAAATCGGGATTCTATTTGGTAGTTTTATCACGTGAGTTTTAGTCAACAGTCATAGCCATAATAAGTTCATACGAACGACGTAGAGATGTAAAGTTGGTTTAAAAATATTTATGGTCATGTAAAGAATATCAAGAAAGCCTTGTTTGGAGTCATATGAGTAAAAAGCATTGTCTAATGTCTCCTGAGTTTTAATATCCTACAAGAAACCTAGAAAATTCCATTAGCGATGTAAAATTGAAGTATACTATTCAATTTGTTTGTCTTAGATTTCAGTCGCTGATCTATACCGAGAAAAGTTTTGAAGGGAAGTTTCTATAGTACTTGAAAATCTTAGGAGATCCGACTCATCAGTCATAGGTGGTTTTGTCTACCAAGTAATTAAGCCAAGTCACTTGTAAGGACACTTGGACGAGTGTTTCCGCTTCCCAGACAGGCGAATAGATAATGGTAACCGTCTACTGAATTTTGATTCAAAAGTCGTTTATTGCTATTGAGCATCAACCATAAGTATAATGAGATATTGTCTAACCTGGAGAACTCCGATATCCACTCAACACTGTATTCAGCCAAATTTTATCAATATTACCAATCTCTAGGGTAAAATAACAGAAAACTGTCGCTCTCTCTCCAGAGCGTATCCAGACTCCGATTAAACCATAATCCAACTATTCGCCTTCACTTTTCTGAATACAAATATTACACCAGTAACACCTCCAAGAGCTCATTTTGAAAATGACAATATCAGACATATATTTGGGAAAGAACTAGCTATGACCTTTGTGATGCTAATTCTGAAGTGACCCATTGTAGTAATGATATCAAAAGTTTCTGATTAGGTAATAGTTTTCTGGAAAATAGTCCTTGGTAGATTCAAACATGATAAGAAACAAAGTCAAGGTAACCCTATAGACTGTTAGAAAGGCTACCTAATGTCCGTGAACTATGATGGATAGTGAAAAAGGAAAAGTTGGATGATGGATAACACTGGTTTCAACCGATCATTCAGCTACTCATCAATCCCGAAAAAATGAATGGTAAATCGATCTCTCCCTCTCAATAAAGGGAGTTGACAAGACCAAAGCTAAGTCTAGAAGCGAAAAAACAGAAGGACCTGATATATCAACTTCAAATGTTCTGAAGGTAGTAGGCTCACGTTTAGCAATTAGGCTGTCTGGGATATGAGTTATTATTTAAGGGCTAAAATAATTCTCATCTGACAGATTTCGATTACTAATCTTCCCACTTTATGAGAAAAAGTAGAAATTCTCTTTTGAAAACCCCATAAAAAAATAGTTTGTGTAATGATTTTAACAAATATTTGACCCTTAGCTGGAACTCTAGAATTGAAAATTGTGAGGGATTTGGCTCAGTCATCTAAAAGCTTTGTAGCTGTTATTATTAGTAGGAATACGAAAACAAACGCATCGATTTCTCAAAGAATCACTTCTTGAGCATAATTGGTTGAAGCAGAACTTATGAAGAACTGTTATCAAAATTGGAAACCTCAAGAAATGTTTGCAAAGGCTTTATATAATTTCTACATAGATATTCTTCTGGAAATAACATTTTTTTCGTCTAACTTTACCCATAGTAGGCAAATTTCATTAAAAAGATCAAAAACCTTATGAGTTATCTAATTTTTCTGTTGATTTGATTTTCTTTTCTACACAGGTTGGAGAACGAGAAAATTTGTTGCATAAATTAAGCTTGGAAGTGAATAAATTGAAAAATAAACATGAGGAAGTAATTTCACAGGTGAGCATTCAGGATTCAGTAAATGATTTAAAGTTGATTTTTCTATTTACAGTTAGATCTAATTTACCAACCCAACATTTTGTTTCCATTTTGTGATGAAATGATGATACGTCATGGCAGTAGAGAAGCATGAGGGTGATCATGAAATTGATGTTAATGAGATCTGTATGTTTGGTAATAGATCACTTATAATTAAGCATAACATCCCAGAGAACTTTATATAATTGTCCGACATATGTATTTTGTCTTTTAAATAGAAAATTGAGTGAATGATCATAATTCCTCATCTTAGAACTGACTTTTATCATCGATGAAAATAATCGTGAAAAATACTAAACAAAGTAGCAAAGAATTAATAGATGACCAATCTTGAAAGTCCATGCTTCAAGAAGAATTTTGGATTTCATCATAAGAGCAAACAAAGACGATAAATGTCTGCTTTATTTGATTTTCATCTTTTTCATTGAGTATAATTTTGCAACAACACCATAAGCCTATAAGCAAAGATGGATAGTGGTTAGCAGTGGGATCTAGGGCGCGTATTTCGTCCCATTTGGGACTCGTCAGTCGGGTGTGCCTGCACCATGGAGTTAATTTTCACTCTGGGACTCGAAACCAGTGCTATTCGCTTCAAATGCTATCGCGTTATCCACTTAGCTACCATGTACCATCTTTGTTTCAGACTTAGTTTCAAATACTTTTGGTTGAGCCGTTTGAATATTTTGACAGATTTCAAACCTGCTGAATGTCATTATTAAGTGCATTGGCAACCATCAACAGTTTATGCACCCCTGTCAAACATCAAGATAACCTATCGACTTTAATGACAAATAATTCAAAGTAAAATCAATTACTTTGCAGTAAGCACTCAGTAATTCGTATAGCACTGGTCATCAAGCAGTGATTGATTTAAGAGCATAAGTTTGTATTTACCTTAGGTGATCATTCAACATTGTGACGGAATCGGTAAATTAAGACGACAGAAGAGGATTGTTACTAAATATACATTGAATCTCACGAAAATCATCAATATATAAACCAACTATAAATGTCAGCAGTTGAAATTTCTATTTTTTTCATTTAGCGCGATTCATTTCAAAACCAAACTAAAGAACTAGAAGAACGCTGTCATGATCTACACAAAAAGTATGAGAATAATGCAAATAACTTGACAATGATGGTAAGTTCAACTTTTTAGTTTTCGTATCTCCTCATCTTATAGTTCCTATTCAGACGGTCATCAAACACTTCTGCTGTAGATTAGTTTGTATGGTGTTGCTAAACTAAAATTGATAAAATATATCGTCATCAGCATTAAGGTTTATGAAGATTATTGATATAACGAACTTACCTAAATTAAACATTCATTTAAAGTCAAGAAGTAATTGATAGCTACTCGGTACTTGCAGGTCGCGTTTTTTTGTAAATTACTTTATGCGGACGTCACTTATGACTAATATTTTTTCTCTCAGTGAAACATCTTGACCATACATGGAACACAACAGATAAATACATTTTCCCTCTTTAGCGTTACCTAATCCGAAAACAGGGTAGCAAATCGTGTAATTTTACACGCCTAAGGGACTTATTCTAACTTTTAATTGGGCAGATTATTCTAATTTTTCCATCTGTTCTATCATACACAATATTTGCCTGTGCAAATTAGCTTGCTTTATTAGTGTATTATCGCACTTCAATACTTTATACAATCACTGCATCTTTTAGATGCATGTCTGCTGTTGTAACAGGTTGACTGCAGATTAGAGTGAAGCGTATATTGTCGATCGATTACCGTGACACGTAAAACACGTACGAACGACCCAGAGTCCCGACTGGCCCTGCTTCGCTGTCTAGCCCAGCCAGTTGAGTCCAGAACACAAGTCACAGTCTCTGAGATATGAATCATTATATTTCAGACATACTCTGTTTATATACCAACCAAACAAACCACATCGTACCATAAAATAGAAAACAACATTTGTACAATATTTAACAAGTGAAATAATTATCGACCAATAGGGAGTGTACATTTAAAGTCCAAGGCCACCATTAGACTTAACATGATAATTATTGGTATATTTTTCTGCACATCCTAACATCTGCCATCCAATATAAACATATACGATACAATATGTATTCTAATTTTACTATATCTCTGTTTTATAATTGTGGCCATTCGACAGAATGTATACGAAGTAGAAAGGAAATGCATTTCGTTAGCATTCATATCTTTGTATCACCACCGAGCCAACAAAAATGTACTAAAACAGACGTTGCTCAAAGAATGTGTTGCAAAAACCAAAAGAAAATTTGACTAAACAAACAGTTATTACATTTATATATGTTTACAATACCCTTGGATATAGGTCAAAAATAGCAGTGTAAGTTAATGACCAATCCATAGGAGCATTCCCCACAGATTGACAACGGTTTAAGATCTGTACGTTAGAAAAATTGAACGGAGTAAAATAAAATTTTATATTTACGAGATGTAAAGTGCGATATTAATGTTTTCACGATTTAAGCATTTGCAGCAGCTCTAGCTTTTATTATAACTAATAAAGTACTGCCGTGTAATTTATCTAGAAATGCATATAGTGGACGCTAGCTGCTTTCTGAACTTGTACTTGCTTATCAGAACTTCTTATATAACTTTGTTGTGTCCCTTGATCAAAGTGTTTGCTTCTATACTTTCGATCTTTATAATACATTGAGGAACGGACCTTGAATACTGGTGACCACGTCCGGAGATCATTAATATTATACGGATTCAAAACGATCCAAAACAGAACCACATTTTAGCTTAATTCCATGGTACACCAATACCGAATAGTTGATCAAGCGGAATGTGAGGACGACGCGTTGACGAAAAGAAAGCTGAGTTACTTCTGATAAGCCTCTAAAATAGTCGAAATGGCTTTATTACTTTAGGTACTGCTATTTATAAGGGAGCATAAATATCTGTTCAGGGTTAGATCGGTTACCGCAAATTTCAGAGATAAATTCATCTACATACAGCTAAAGTATTAGTATACAGTAACTCTAACAGATAAATTACATGTAAAAGGATCCGTAAATCGTCTTCAGAACAGAAACATAACGGCGTTTAGCGTCCTTTGATTTCTAGGTTGTTATTTAAGCACACTACTAAGATTTAATTTTTTGCTTTTCAATTTAATTAATTTCTGTCATTGTTCCTGAAATACTGGGGCAATCAAAAATCACCCGAACGATAAGTGTACATGATTTGCCAGAAAGTTGATTTCGTTCCTAAAGGATAAGATGTTGGTGACTAAATTATCGGCTTGGCCAATAAACTTTCCTTTTCACTCTGTCTTTTAACTTGAGTAACCGGTTGGGCTCGTGCATAAGAAGATTGTGTTTCAGTATCGAATCTCGGAGACAGTATGCCACAACAGTTTTCTTTCCTACTTTTGTCTTTATTTCCCTTTTTGTACATCATACTTTTGGTTAGGTAATATTTCGATAAGTCAACACTTTACTACCTAGTGAAACTTCGTTTTTCCACTGTATTTTGTAGATGTCTAAAACGAATAAGATTTGGTCGAAATAGAAATTTGTATTATTCTAACCCCTTCTTGCTTTAACAACTGTGTTCGTTTTTTTATGTACAGATGTCAAAAAAATAATAACTATGAATTATTATATTCAGTTTGATTCTAAAACAGGCGTTTATCATAAAATTAAGTATTATCCCTGCCTAAGTTGAACAATTCTTGCCAAAAAATAGTATAAAGCCATTAACATTTTCGAATTTTCATTTGAAAAAACTTTAGGTGAAGGAACGTGATGAATTATTGGCAAAATTGAAATCAGAACGTGAGAATATCGAAAACATCAGTGAAGAACGGAAAAGACAGGTACTTAATTTTTACATTTAAGAATGATTGTAGTTTGGAATAATTTTAGGTTAAATACGATGTAGCATCTTCCTGGTAAAATTAACAATGTCATTCAACAACATTTAATATGGATAAGTGGGTTTGATGACTTGGAAACCAGTCAGTTTAGAGATTAGTTCAAAATAACGATGATAATTGAAGAAGTACTATGAAATTTGAAACTACTGGAGCGATATTTTTTCTTGACATGGAGTTTTTAGTACCGTGCAGTAAGCTCAAATATGTAACATACCTATTGGAAAGACAAAATATATAGAACAACCACCATATTTGTTGTGTGGATTTGACCAAAAGTATTTGTTGATTGAAATTATTTTAGTCAGACGTTTTCTTTAATAAAGCTTATTTAGACAAGGTAGTATATCAGATTTTGCATATTTGTCCACTACAGTCTAAGTTCCCCTGAGAAATATGTTTGAGATATATAGTCAAGTAAATTAATCGAATTTAAGAATTTAAGACTTGTAAGAAATGATTTAAGTACATCAGTCGGAAAACAAACTCCCATCTCAGCTCTTCTATATTTACTGTTGGTCCGAAGCCCGGATAAATGAGGAGAGTTAGGCATAAAGTAAGCAACCTCATCCCATTAAAAATAACCTTGCTAAGAAACGCTCACCAGAAAAAAATCACTTAAACCATTTAAACTCTGCTCTGAGAGTTTAAAGATCTTCAATTAGAAGAGTTATGACGTCTCACGATGAAAACATGGAATATCTGAACAATATGAAAGGTCGGAAAAGTTGTTCGAATAGCGGTGGAAATAGAGAGGTACAACATGGCTCTGTTTGGAATAAGTGGAACCTATTGGACACAAGATGGACCAAAAATGTTAGCTTTGGGAGACGTGCTGTTGTACTCGGTTCATGAAGAATAAAGTGCTTTTCACACGCAAGGATGCTGTCCAAAGAAACATGAAGCGCACTTGTGGAATAGGAATCTTATGGATTAGGAATCATCAAAGCAATCTTCGAAACAAAGAAGGAGGGGATTACAATGAATATTATCCAGGGCTCTATGTCAAACAATGATAGCAATGAAGGCAATAAAGATCAGTTTTATGGGAGGTCGCAGTCAACTGTAGAAAAGAACTCAGCGAAGAACATGACCATCCTGTTGGGATATCTAAAAGCCAAAGTTTGAATAGACAATACCGGGAATGAAGATATCACAGAGCGGCATGGACTGTGAAAACGGGACGAGAATAGTGAGAGACTTGTAAATCTGTGCGCTTTCAATAAAATGGATATAAAGCGCATCATTTCCCTTACAAAGGTATACACAAAGCAGAACTATCACCCGACCACAATATAGACAATCAAGTAAATCATCTTTGATTTAATGAAAAATTCAGAGGATCCAGTTTCGAGAACTCTTGAATAGAATAGACTAAATCAATCCTCCACACATCCAAGCAACATACACAATCCTCCACACAGATGTCACCCCACACACACAATCGAAGAAATCAAAATGGCCATCAGACAAATCAAGACTGGGAAGGCATCAAAACCAGATAACATACCAGATGAAGCATTGGAGTCAGACATACAGGTAGCCGTACACGTTCTCCACGTTCTATTCGGAAAGGTCAACAGGCCAGATTCCGTAAGGATCAGTCGTGCACAGACCAAATCGCGACACACGGAGCATTGTTAACAATCAATTGAAAGGAAATAGTCACTCACCACACATCAGCTTCCTTGACTATGAGAAGGAGTTTGACAGTGTGGATAGGAGGACCATATGGAACCTTCTTCGAAACCATGGTGTACCTGTGAATATTGCCGACATCGTCCGAAATTCATACGACGGACTGCACTGCAAAGTCGCGTGCATGGTGGACGGCCGACAGATGCACTCCCAGTGAAGACCGATGTCAGACGAGGCTGTTTCCTCCCACCTATTCCCTTTCTTCTGGTGATTGATTGCATTTTGAAGACCTCTACTTCTCAGGGGCAACACGGAATACAATGGACAGATTGGATGTAACTAGACGATGTGGACTTTGTAGATGACCTGGCCCTTCTATCACATACACAACAAGAAATGCAGGTCAAGACAACCAATGTAGCGGGCACCTTAGTATCAGTAGGCCTCAACACACACACACACATAAGGGGAAAACCGAGATCCTCAAATACAACACGAGGAACACCAACACAATCTCACGTGATGGAGAAACTCTGGAAGAGGTGGAAACCTTCACGTAACTGGACAGCATCATCGATGTACAAGGAGGATCTGATGCAGATGTGAATGCAAGAATTCTCAAAGTGAGGACAGCATTCCTACACTTGAATAACATATGGAACTCGAAACAATTGTCAACCAATATAAAAATCACAATCTTCAATACGAATGTCACCACAGTTATATTATACGGATCTGAAACTTGTAGAACTAGCACAACCGTCATCGAGAGGTACAGGTATTTTTAAACTATTGTCTGCGCAAGATACTTAATGTTCGTTGACCGGATACCATCAGCAAAAATTTACTATGGTGGAGAACGACCTAACTTCCAGGTGAAGAGGTTATTCGGAATGATCGCTGTAGGTAAGAAATGCATTGCGGAAGTCATCAGACTGTCACAAGGCAAGCCCTAGTTTGAAATCCCGAAGGGAAACAGAAAAGAGGAAGACCGAAGAACACGTTGCATTGGGAATTGAGGCAGACATCAAAAGAATGGATATCGATTGGAAACACCTGAAAGAGAGATCCCAGGACAGAGTTGGTTGGAGAATCTCGGTCGGCGGCCCATGTTCCTCCACGAGGGGTAACATGCACAATTTATTAACTAAGTTGTAAAACAATACACTACTGCATAATATATGACGATAAGTCACTAGTGAATAGTTGAGTCTGTCAAGGTAAAATGTGATACATGCCACAAGAACAGTAACTGGATAGAGGCGTGATAGAACTGAATGAATGAATGCATATAAATTGGAAGTGAAACTTATCTAATCAGATGCTTGTTGTAGCAACCTGACAGCAATCAGTACCATCTACATAGTGTACAAACCTTCTTAACTAATATTGTTAGTAAAGTATGAACAGTGTAATTTGAAGAGAAAAGAAAAGTAGACTTAGTGGTAAAAATAGTTGAAAATGTCGCATCATTCCAATTGAACTGAGAAGAGAATAATTTAAAGAAGCTCATCGATGAATAGTGAGGTATAATGTAATTAGGTGGACTGTAAGAAAATGGCTGAAGGAATGAATGTTTTCCAAACTTTCTGTCGTTGATGTTTTCTCCTGCTTTTCGTGTAGGATATTTTGGTTCAGATGTAGAGTCTAATAACTGCTTCATCGGTTTTATAAACCAGAACGACACTGAGTGTTTATCATAGTTGGGTGATCGGTCCACAAGAGGGAAAGGATGGTTCACATAAATAAACTCAACAGTGAGATAGATGTGTACGTATTGTCCATCCGTCGCATACGATAATGTTATGAAGTAATGTTCCCTTCAAATTCCATGGTATAAATTTACTTCAGTTAATCTTAGCTTGGGAAAATAGGACAAAGCTTTTTTAAAGTGGTCATAAAATTTAGTCTACACTAGTCTTGATGTGAATTGGATTCTTTTTAAAATCATATTTATTCTCCTTTATGTGAAATAGATAATGAAAATGCTCAAAGAAACTTCAAATATACGTGAAAAGCTAGATTTACAAATAGGTCGATCAATGCAACTGGAAGCAGAGTTAGCTCGTCTTAAATCGGTGAATGCACAGTTGGAATCTGGGATTCAGGAAATGAGTAAGCAAAGTCTGTCAAATGCTCAAACAAGTGCAGCTGAAATTCGCTCTTTGCAAGAAGAAAAACAAACAGCATACAATTCACATCAATTAGAAATCAACCAAATAAAAAAAGAATTAAATCAGCTGAATAATGAAAACACTGAGTATAAGAAGGAAATTAGTCGATTACAAACTAAAACTAATGATTTGAAGGTATGTGTTTAGTTATTTGATCTTCTGCACTTTGTAAATCACATCTTTTTCAGTAGAATTTAGTTGGTTCCAAGATGCAGACATTTTTAAAAGTTAGGAGATGTATTTCCAATGAGCTCTTTATGACTGCACACAAATATATGGGTCCTATAACATAGATGGCTGTCCAGAGAATAATTTAAGAAGAGTCATTTTATTTGACAAATAACCAGGAAATTGTTTCCAGACGTAAATTATACTTTGTGAGCTGTATTATTTTTTAAGGTCATCTATGATCGAATTACTGAGTTGGAGATCTGCACAATTATTCCTATTAAATTCATACAGCCCGTCGACTTAACTTCTGTCACTTCAACAATTCTCTGAGGCATATAAACGCAGAAGATGAAAAACGAATTTGATTGGACTAATTTACTTTTTAGGTAGGAAAATCAAACCCTTTAGCCAATAACAAAGAGAAAGAGTGGATGAGTAATCTAATGAGTAAATGGATAAATAACCGAATGAATAAGTTATTAAGTTGATTTTTATATAGTCTAAAGCAGTTATTAGATAAGTGAATAAACGAGCACAGATACAATGAAATACACAATGTATGAAAGGCGTACATAGCAAATTACCTATTTACATGTAATTGAGCCCTAAATTAATACCGCCAAGAACAAGTATGAGTGGTTGTGAATTATCATTTGTAATTAATTAATATAAAACTGGTAAAGAAATGGGGTTTGCATGTTTTTGATTTGCCACCTGTTATAGAACTGGTTTCATTACATGACAGATTAATTGGATATACTAGCTTGTTACACCCTATGACGATTATTTGAATTTTATCTAACTTATGATATGAACCAATGCTTAAGCGTCAGTTATACATTGTTTATATTGACGTAATTAGAGATTATTTATAATAACACACGTGGTCATTTTGAAAACGATTTTCTGTTTGAGAAAGAGCGCTTGAAAAATGACTATTTTTATGATAAATCATTATCTGAAATAAAAAATCAACTCATTGTACATTTACATACAATTTAAAACTACCAATAACTAGTGTGATTACCACTGATCACTGTCGATAACTATCTTACTTACCTCGTCGAATTATTTTACAATCCACTTTCTGAATAATTAAAATAGATTACCTTAATCTATGGATGTTTCTATTAATTGTAAAGTGGTTATTTTAATATTAAATTCATTATATGCCTGAGATGCGTTAAGACGATGAATCTAGAAAACCATAATTCTCAATGTACTATTGAATTTGATTAATTAATTTGATTCCTTTTTTTTCGTACACTTATTTTCTGACAAAAAGGACGAGGTTATTCAATGTAGAAATAATTTACAGGTTAAAACAAATATTCTGGAAGAGAAAGAGAGACAAATTCACTCACTTACTCATGAACTTGAATCTTGTCATCGGGTATGTTAATTTAAAGTTTATTTTGATAAAATGTTTTTCTTTTTAGTGGAGTTTTGTTCTCTGAGATGGATGGTTTGGTCGCCAAAAGGCAGGCTTCCACTCGAGAACAACTATATTTTCTCCATGAGTGTCTTCGCCAGCATGTTCTAACAGCAAGTGTAAAATATAGACCTCCAACGACCAAACCATCCAGCTCAGAGAACAAAACACCAAAATCATCCACCTGAGCTACAAATCTTTTCCATCATCTCAACGTTTTTCTTTATTATCTTGTGAATTGGCAAGGTAAACAAATACTCAAAATTAGTAATCACTTTATTACAAAGTATAAGCATTTGTATTAGTGAGTGATTTCGGTTAATTCGTTTATTTAAAATAACCTTTTACTTCGGTCAAATGAGAATAACTATTTTCAACCATTTCTGCTTTTCAAACTTGATCACTATTATTTTACAGGAGTTAGAAACACAAATCAACTCAGTTGGATTGTTCAAATCAGAACAGAAAATGATTCAAAATTCATTCGAAGAGAAAATAAAACAATTAGAAATTATTGATAGTCAGAAGCAAAGAGAAGTTGAAAATTTGTCAATGGATTTAAATCAAGCCAAGGTGATTTCTTTAATTAAGTATTTTATTGATGTTTTGTTAACCCTTTCACGGAATTGAAATCTGTGGTTAGGCGTGATGTCACAGACAGAATTATTATAGTAGCGTGTATGTTCGACTTGACAATACCTTTGGGAAATCACACGAGCGAATCACCAACGTCTAACACGAACTTCTTAAATCATTAATTAGAACTTTGGTCTATGAAGGCCATTGAATATACTATGCAGTCTAGTGCTGTCATTTTCAAGGTGATGAAAAAATTCAACTAGGGATCATAGTAAGCTAACCGAACACTTGAAAACCTACATTATTTCAATTCGTTCTTTAAACGCTAGGGTATGTGAAGTAGTCTAACAGCATTCTGAAATCTGACCGGAGTTTAAATAAAACTTTTTAGCTTTTATAAGATAGGAATATTTTGCACATTCAAGCAAAAAGCTTTTCTGGCGTTCCACATACACGTGAAAGATATGTGGAGTTGTATAAAACCACTAATTTGCAAAATATGTTCTAGTATTTAATACTACTCAAATAAATGAACTTATGAAGTTCATAAATAGTTAAAGATTTACTATTATTAATAATGGTGATGATGATTACTATTATGTTATTCGTGTAAGTCCTTAGTGTATCTGTCCTCATGTTATTTTGTTCAAAAGTAGGTTACTACTCGAAAAATGATCATTAGTTCTTTCCTACCAAATTAAGTCATTTTCTATTTTCAAGCCTAACTTCTGATACAATCCTTAAGAAACTCATTCAGTTCGCAATAATTTGTGATATATGTAAAAGACTTGTCTGTGGAATTTCATACTTGTTTTATACAAATCCATCTGTATAGTACGATGTTTCGATGACAGATATTCAACCAAACGTCAGCTTTGACTATTTTCACTATCTAAACAAAATCTCAAATTTTACTAAATACCTATCAATTGCACGTACATAACTTCATACTATTCATCGATGAGATTGTTTCTGTTTACTTGTAAACCAATTCAGTGTTTCCTACCGACAGGAACAAGTAATACACAGCCGTAAATCTCTAGAAATATTACAAAGTGAATTATCATCTAGTCGCACAATGTTGATAAAATCAAGAGAAGAAATTGTTAAACGATCTCACAACGAAGAACAATTGGAGAAATCACTGCAAAAATTAAAGCTCGAACTAGAGCAAGCAAATGTACATAAAACTGCAGCAGAAATGGCCAGTAAAACAGCTATCAGTAATGTAAGATAAGTAATTATTTTACTCATTTATTTTCGCAGTTAGTTACTTCTAGATATACTTAAAATGTGACCTAAGTAGATCTTGAAATGTAACAAAGTAAATTATTTCTGTTAAAAATTCATTCTCAACTTTCATTTTCAACTAACTGACTTCTTATCACTGTTTTTATATCACAGGACTAAAATCTCCATATTTCTACTAAAATCAAACCTCATTGCTATCCGCTGTTCACAACTAAGTTTTGCTTCTAATCCATGACAAGTAATATTCATCGTATGTACTTTATTTTTATTTCAACGTCAGTTTCTGGAAGTGGAAATTTTTAAGAATTAGAAGTTCCATATAATGGATAGTAAACTTATTTACGAAGTGTATATATTTAATAAAATATCCCCTAGGTTCTTTCTGTATAAAGTCTATCATCGACTAATATTAAGACTAATCTATATCTGGGGTGTAATTAATGTCATGCACAGCCGGTACCAAGTGCTGGCTAAATCATTTTGATCATGTTTAGGGACGTGAAATTGAACTAAACGACATCATACAGTATTGGAATACATTTGGGGTTTTAATTCAAGGACGAAGCCACAGAAAATTCTACAATCTGCCCATTATTTTTTCCAATTTATCAGAATGGCCTACTAACCATGTCGAGCAAACTCGGTGTTCACTACTGCCCCAACTTTATATTATTGATCACTAAATTTAGGGGGGTTACTGATGAATTATTTATAATCTGACTAGTCTACGGTAGAAATACACTTGGGTGATGGATACGATGTATAATAATAGATTCATACGTAATCCCTTAAATCAACATATCTTCACTGTCAAAAACAAACAAGTAAAATGATATCCCAGTTATTCTTGTTCTCTGGATGTGAGGTAAAAATAATGACCATCACTCAATTACACTGCATTATTTATTTAATCCAGATATTCATATAGCTTTTTTCGCTTACAGTATCAAGAATTGGAAGCACAGATGGAATCCTACAAAACATCAAATATAACTATACAAACCCGTCTACATGAAGTAGGCAAGGAATTGGACGAAACAAAATTGATTAAATCGCAGTTAGAAGAAAGATTAAGCATTCTGACAGAACAATTACAGTTAGCGCAAAAACAACTAGAGGAAAAACAAGCACAAGTTAGTCCTTTTGTTCACGTGAAATAATTTAATTGAACATTGTCAATCATTTTTATCGATTTCATCATCCGAATTCCTTACTGTTCATATCATCAATATGTAGCGTATTTTAAGACACTGGATAGGGAAGAACATTTGAACAAATATTATCTTCCTTTGTTCCATTTTTGTTATCACATTACAAGGTGAATCTGAAACGTCAGTGGAACTAACTTTACCTTAAAGATTCTATTTTTTATCACTTAATAGTGTTTTCCATAAATAGTGAAATCAATAGTTTGATTGTAACGATGATTGGAGCGTCATCGGTGATTAAAATCCTAGTTAAACGGTTCTCTGAGCTTACTGTTGGAAAGGACTGTACAGTAGAGCAATAAAGGTTCATATCAACCTCAGTGGTTCACTATCAAAGCAATATGTAAGGTAGTATTACAAAGTTGGTTAGGAATTGGATGATTTGTATGTTGGTTAAGTGATATTCTTATTAGATTATTACACCGTATCTCAACTAGAGTGCTAACATACTTTTTCGTATCCCCATTAATATGTTTTGATAATAAGTAACAAGTAAAATCAAAAACTGTATTTGGGTTCGTTATAACTGCTGATTCGGATAACTTGTTTACTTTTATTTGCATCAGTTTTCACTGATCTGACGTAAGCAACGTCCTTAGTATCAGTCTAATACCTATTTGTTGAACCCACACTTTTGCATAAGGGTTAGTTATCAATGTCAGTGAATCCTGGAGTGAACGCTTAGATCTTTGCTTTACTAAAAAACTGATTCAATAACAAAAACCAAACCCAGTCACCACGATCATGAGAGCCCAATCTTTTGAGTTTTCAAAGGAATATAGTTACTGTGTTCCAGAAAATTGCCAACGTAGCTTCAAGGGGCCTTTGATTTTAAAATCTCTTTGGTTGATATCTACTTAGGATGATTTTTCTATTAGTGCCATTTAATCACTAATTTTCTACAACTACTTTCCTGATTGAGAACACTAAGGTTCCATTAATCAGGTTACCGACATCCAACTTGCTTAATGAATATTACTTATACATTCAATAACTCAGCAGTAATACGTAGTTTTCACTTAAACAAATATACTGTGAAAATAAACACTGCTTTCTAAACTTATTTTGTTTTATTCATCCTCTTTACAGCTAAACCGCTCTGATTCAATTGTAAATCGTATGTCCAAAGAATTTAAACGAACACAAATAACAATTGAAGAAAGTGCACAGAAAGTAAACAGTCTATTTGGGCAATTGAAAACAACTCAAGAAAAATTGAATGTAGCAAATGAACAATTAAGTGAAGTGGAAAGTAACAGAAAAAGTTTGCTAAAAGAATTAGAAGAATACCAAAGCTCTCACCATACGCATGATAGCGAAGTATGAAAAAGTGAATTTCTGTGTTATTATTTTAGTTTTTGGTTAAAGTTTTGTTAAATCGAGCAGTTGTTTGTTTTATGCCCAAACACCTGGTCGACCGTTCAATTGTATATTGAGCGGACTACACGACCCGGCCTATAAATTAATTTAAACTTTAGTACAAACACCAAGTATCGTCTGTTGTATAGGTACGTCACAGTTGTTTGCAATTCAGTACATCAGCTAACCAGCCAGGTTTTCGCATCTGAATTCAAATCTGGTTGAATCATGCAAATCGAAAAAATATTAACGGTTACTAACTATTTTATACCTTTCGCAATTCATTTTTTTTATATTCATGTAACTTTAAAGATTCTAAAGACCACTTAGTGTAGCTCATTTAGACTAGATTTTCCATGTTGTAAAGATTTATTCTTCATCTTATTTTTCCAAAGACACTTAAATACTAAAATAACAGTCCAATTTAGCTCCTGCAAAAACATTTTCTCTGGCAATTCAGTCCATTCAATCATATTCAATATGAACTTCACCTCACATTATTCACTCACACAAGTACCTCATTTTGTTTTATAGCATTATACCAATTCAAATCAATCTATGGTGTAAGTTTAACAGGAATGATAAAAGTATTTGTTTGTTTTGCAGTTAATCTTTAAAAAGACCATACAAATTAATAATTTATAATTTATATATTCTGAAAATAATAATTACAGAATTCAAGTCAGTTTATAGGCATGATCAAGTTAATATAAATAGTAACATTAGATGTACAGAACAAACATGTGATAGAAGAAAGTTTTGAGTATACTAGTTCAGCAATTGTTTAGGTAGTACATGTATTACAGCGATCCAATGCATCAGCCGGGAATTTTTATTATTTTTAAATGGACAGCCTATTGATTTATGAACGGTGTAATCAAGGTCATTTCGTGTGCCAGATCGAATTTATGATAATTACCTACAACTAGAGAAATTAAAACGAACACAGCACAGAACAACAAAGCAGTAATTACCAAAATATGTCAATCAGGTCTACCAAAATGCGTGTGTCATGTGACTCAGTGATATACTGTTAATATTATTCAAATTAGTTAAACTTTCTGGGGACGGTGTTAACATAAAGTGACAGCAAGTAGGTGGTTTTACTTAGGGAATGCCCTAATAAAAGTGGCTAAACATTTAAGGTTCCTCTTATATCACTTGTGGAATGAGATACACTTACAGGTTCTAAAACTTTCAATGCATTTTCAGAGGAGCAGTATGCATCGATGTAGCGAACAAATAATGGGAGTGATTTTATTGTACGGATAGATTGTGGTAGGTTATTCCAGAGTCTAGAAAATTTACAGGTAAAATAATTCATATAAAGAGATGATTTAGAATAAGTTTGTTTCACTAGTGCCAAAGAATTATGGATGTCATAATGGGAAGTTTCTGCATATTAAATCACGTGATTGAATGTAAAGGATAGTTTTTTAAGTGGTTTGAAGAAAAAGACAAGATTTAGTTTGAGTCTCCTCTTCCATAAAGGGTCTAGCCCAAGTTTATTACATCTAGAATTATAAGTTAAGGTACAATCAGCTCCAAGAATACGAAGTGTAAATCGTCTCTGTACTAATTCAAGTCTCAATTTATCCTTTATGCGCGCACTGCTAAGAATAAACGTGCAACATTCTAGAAGAGGTCGAACACAAACTTTGTACATTAAAATACGTGACTCATTGCTATAAAGGCTTCGAGTTATGTAACCTACTAGACGTTGAGACTTAGAGGTCTGTTTCAATATCTGTTCTGTAAACGACAAGTTCTGGGAGTATCTAAGTCCTAAGTCTACTACTGTATGTAACCTAGATAACACTTCTCCATTTATGGTAAGGTCTAGGTTGAGTGATGTATCGCCGAAGCACATCCATCCATATTTAGCCGTATTAAGCCTCAGTTGCCATTTTAAGCATCACTGTGCTACCTCGTTAAGCTCCATGCTGATGCAATTTTGCATATTTTTCAGCTCGTGTGGAGAAAATGAATATACTACTTTAAGATCATCTGTATATAGAAGGGGCTTACCCACACAAAACTTTCACAAATGTCATTGATAAACACTAAAAAGAGCAAAGGACCTAAGATACTACCTTGTATTACACCACTTCTAACAGGGACAGCGTTAGACAATGAAGAGTTAATTTTAACTATTTGATGTCGATTGCTGGGAAAAGAATCAAACCAAGCTAGCAAAGGATTTTGAACCCCATAAGATGCGAGTTTACCTATAAGAAGTTGGTGGCTAACCATGTCAAAGGCTTTAGAAATGTCCAGATATAGTACTAACACTAGATATCCTTGATTACGTCGAGAATAGACTATATTAAAGAAGTCAAAATGACATGTTACGCAAGATCGATTTTTAAGAAATCCATGTTGAGTATCATTGATGAATTCTCCAGCGAATAAATAGTTGGAAAGTTCATCACTTGTAATTTTTTCTATAATCCTAGAGATAACTGGAGTAAAATTTATAATTGTTCATGTCAGTCTTATCTCCAGATTTGTAACGTGGTATGATGTACGCGGTTTTCCAACAGTAAGGGTAAGAACCAATTTCCATAGAGAGAGAGTAAACAGCTTTAGAAGAAGAAGTGGAATATCTGGACCACCATATTTGTAGAGAAAGGATGAAATCCCGTCTGCTCCATGACCTCTCGAAATCTTAAGGGTATTTATAGACGTATTAATTTCCATGCATGTGAAGGAGATAGATTTTATTGAGTTGCTAGTCACGCACATAACTCTTGAAGCAGAGCCACTTATGATTTCTACACCATTCGCAAAAATACCACTGAAAAAGTCTGCTATAGTTTTAGAGTCGTATATAAAAGTGCTATTATGCTGGATGCATGGTATATCAACATTTTGAGTTGCTTTAGCGTGTTTATTGAAAAGGAGAGTTAAGTTTTGTATCTTTGCGTTAGTGTTAAGTGCTAGTATCTTCTCATTAATGACTTTTAACCTATGTCTCTCTTTAATTTGATTAAAAATTTTTGTTATTTGTGCAACTGCCGTGAAGTTGTGTGACTCATAATAGCGATTCCGTAGGCGTCTTAGTTTATTACGATATTTAGCTGGTATATATAATTCGTAAGGTCTACTAAACCTGTACGTTTTAAGAAGTATATAGGAATCTAAACAAGAGTTAACGATCAGATAGAATTGATAAAAATTAGCAGTTTTATTCAAAACATGGAACTACTTAAGTCAGAAATATTTTAATCCATTCACATTGAAAACCCTATCATGTACTTAAGAAAACTTAATACACATAAATGGTGTTTATTATTACAGTATTCATAACTATCTTTTATGTGTATTTTCAAACTATATTAAATTGTTCTTGTGAATGCTATTATATTTAATTCAAAAAGGTTCAGTCAATGGAAGTTCAGGTCAATTATCTGCTAAGTGAACTTGGACAAATGAACGATCGCTTGACAACAAATCAAAAAGAACTGACTGATTCACAAGCAGAAGTAGATTCACTAAGAGTAAGTTTAAACTAAAATTAACTTCAACTGTATTAGAGTGTTGGGAAATGCGATATTTTCCAAATAGGCGACCTAAATCACCTATAAAAAAGTTTCTTAGTAATTGACATGTTGGATGTTTAAACAGTAAGTGTACCCTTCAATTCTAGTGTCCTAAACTAGCAACGCCAATCACTGATCTCTACGGACATATTCAAAAAATTCGTAAAGACTCATGAGTTTTTCATGTTCAACTGTCAGTTCGAAGAGGATTAAACTTTGTCTTTATGATAGTTGGAGGCTGCACCGAGTTATTAAGAGAATAGTAGAATTTCATTTTTACAGTATTGGGATGAGTTCCCTGATTGTATTTAGCCTTGAGTTCGTTTTTGAATTAGGGTTCGGTCATGTAGTTGGATACTAGCCATAACAGAAAATTTTTAAACGATTGGTCATTCAAAAATTAAGGAATTTTTTATATTTATCGGATATTTAGTGATAGCTAACGTAAATATTGAAATAAAGAACGTGTACATTCATCGAATCTGTAAAAACAATTTTATAAGACTGATTATTTCATTATATCTGAATTTTCTTAAAATGTATTTAGTCATGCAATCTTAGCTATGATGCAACTAACTGAAATTTATTATTATTCTGTAGTACCTAAGTGAAAGTTTTCAATACAGTTATCAAAAGTACCTTTGTATTTTTCGACCTTATCTACAATATAATTATTACACTTTTGATCAGGGATACGTTAAGTGGTAAAATAACTTAAACTACTAAGTCCTATGTATCAAATCAGTTTATATATAGTTTTCAGGAATTCTAAAACAGCACCAAGCAGTCAAATTATCAGATGTCAAATCACAAATTCTAATGAGAGCCTTTTACGCTGATACATTCATAAGACTATTATGAACATCTAGCAACTATTTTATAATGAAAACGTTTATACTTGTTAGGTTCGTTAACCTTGAGGATACTACTGATTCGACTTATTCGGAACGGAATGAAGGCTCAGGATTCAGAGACTCAATAGACTATTCTGGTCCGTTGTCTTCGACTAAGCTAACTCGATCAAGAAGTCTTGGTAAGGCGTAGAAAGTGTATTCTACAAGCAACAGCAGATACCAAGTCAGGCAGGCAGATCAGATCAAGCATACAAGTCAAGCGTATTTATACAATTATTTACAATCGATATTGTCATAGAAAATTTTTAAACATTAATCAATGAGTTCATTAATTTACCTATTTGCGCATTTAATCGATAGTTCATCAATTGACTGCTATTCAAACATTTAATCGGTCAGTTCATCAATTGACCCCAATACAAATATTTAAACATTTAATCAATAAGTTGATCTATGCGATAAAATTTAAAATATGAGTTTGGGGATCTATCGTCCCCAACAATACTATAACAAATTCTGTTGTTTTCTCTGAACTGATATGTCACTTTATTTATAACGTAGAATTTATGTCGATTTTCCTGTAGTGAATTTAGTTACTTTCTCGTAAAGGAGAAATTTAAATTATAAATAGCTGTCAAATGGAATGTTGACATTATATAAAAATTGATATCTGTAAGGAAGCGTCATTTTAATTATAAATGGTGTTGTTCTGGTCTGCGCTAATTATGAGGACAGAAATAAGTAGTATGTAGAAGGAATTAGAAGTAGAATGCTTACCAGTAAAAGATTGAAATAAAGAGAAGTGAGAGGAAGACGAAGAGCAATTGGAATCACAACCAGATCAGAGGGGTTATGATGTATGTAAAGAACAACTAAAGAGAGATATGCAAGTGATGTATTTATTGTATGAATTTCATATTTTACAAAGGCATTGTATAATCTGTCATAAAATAATAAATTGTCTTGCCGTACTTGAGCTTCCGTTGACTGAAACGCAAAGAACAGTGTGTTGCAGTTCTCATATTCTAAGGAGCTGTATACGGTCGATATAAGACCCTTAAGTTTACAAATGTTTATTACTTATACATTGATTACCGTTGAATTTTACGATATTCTAGTAACGTTCGATTACCTTTAATCATTTACTCCTCAAATTACTTGAAGCAAACAGTAATCGGTAAACTTTAGGCGCTTCTCCTACATACTAACTGTTTTACAGAAAATAAATGGTATTTTTATGAACATTTTATAACTGAATACCTAATAGGTTTTCTTATCAAAAAGCCTTTTGCCTTCAACTTAAAATGATCCACAAAAATATCTTTATCCCTTGATCATTATTCTTTATAAGATAAAGTAGTTGAAATCAATGTTTAAGCAAATTTACTAATCTATTTCTCTTTATGTATCATGGGATACGTGTGATATTAATTATGGAAAGTTTTAAGTGGAAATTACTTTCAAATTAATTTTTTCTTGAATTATTGTAGAAACGAAATAATGAGTCTACACTTGAAATACAACATTTAAACTCAATGCTGAATGAAAAACAAATAAAATTGGATGAATTAGGAAGACAAGTAATCGAAATGGAGAACCAACTAAGTTCAGCTGACCAGTATACTCAATCATTAAGTTCAGCTAATGATGACTTAATGAACGAATTAAAAAACAGAACTAATGAAATAGAAAAATTACAAAATGAAATCAAACAAAATATGACAGGAATACAAAATTCTGAATTTATGGTGAGTCAACTGGTAATTACATGAATCTCTAAACTTATTTTGGTGGAATGCACCCTCAGAAATTGATTGTGAAAGTTTCACATAACTGATCTATCTATAATTTAACAAACTGGGAGAAATTCGCTCAAATAATTCAATGAACTAGACAGGTGTCCAGTGGTTTTAATTGGTTCTGAAAATAAAGTCAGCCTATGGTGTAAAGAAACCCAAAATACATTTTTGTAACGGTAACCATATAGGATAAACAAACAATACCGTTTTGCATTAGATTCTCATCAGGATTTAATCTAATATACAATAATATTTATATGCATATATGAAACCGTTAAACTAATAAAGACATTTTATTGGTCAGTGATAGCAGTAAAAAAGGTTACATTGTTCGCCTACTTCCCATAATGAAATATTGATTCAAACATTGATCATTCTTATCACAACTAGTACATCTGTCAACACACTATCAGTTTGTACTTTTTACTTATTATAGTCATTTATGTAACCTTTTTTACTGCTATCACTGACCGAATCTACCCATGCCTTCCATCTTTGTTTGTGCATTACACTACTTATTTTCAAAGAAGTAGCCTGAGATTGCAAAGACATTCATTCAGTTTGGAATGTGTGGTTTCTCCACAGTAGGGTATTGAGTTTTCGGAAGTTTTCGTAAAACTCTCGAGAGTTAAAATTGAATATCTGCCACACTTCACTCATTAATCTGCCCAGAGTGAAACGTTGAAGTTTTTCAATTTCAATTACTGAGATTTCTACAAATATAATTCAAACAACCAAAACAAAAATGAATTAAATATATATTTCGTTTCCAAATAGTCTAAATGTATTCGACTTTTTCTACGACTTATCTGCTTTATTGACCAATATTTTTTTGTTGCAATAAATAAATTATTCTGTTTATTTATAACCATATTTAGGCATTCCACTTCTTTTTTCTAGTATAAAGGTGTCTTCTTCCTCTTCTTGTTCAATTTACATAACCATCCTACTCTTTGGCACTGTATTTATCGTCGCAGGCATTTCACAGCCATGTTTTATTTCGTATGGTTTTATTCAGAAGCTTAAATCTTTGATACGACATATAGGAAGTAAACTCGAAACTTGCTACCGGTTATTTGTCCACTAGTTATCCACATATTTTACAAACATTTTAACAATTGTGCTGTACTCCCAGCTTGGTCAACTGATTCTGGATGATTAAATGAGAAATCTGTTTTTACAAAATGCTTATTATTTCTTAAGAGTAATTCAAAACGCAATAAATGTCCTGCATGCATAATTTATATATCTCAATTAAGTTAACCCTTAAGTTATGAGATGTTACCAAGTATTAAACAGTCAAATCATTTGAGTCCGGCAAAATCATACATACCAGGTCATTTGATGTATCAATACAATAAGAAACTATGGAGATAACCTTATTTCTGAGTTTATTTTTCGAATAAGCTACGTATTAAGTAGCAACTATCATCATAACATAGTGGTAAAAGAAATAAACGTGTATTTTCTATGCATATAAACATTTGTAAACATAATTAGTTTAAATAAATAAATGATACAAACTTTTAGTCATAGAAAAGATTGTCAAGTATCCGGATAATCTACTACTTCTATTATGCCACACATTGTAATAATTGGATTCATGTTTGTTAAATTTTAAACATATTTATTTTTTCAACTAAATTACTAGATACAAGAATTAGAATTCAGTGTTCAACAATTAACTAAGCAACTTGAACAATCAGAACTTTTGCGATCGGAAGCAGAAAAAGCCAGTAATCATGCTGTCAGTGAATCAGCTGCCCTTAAAATTGAACTAGCTAAAAAAGATGAACGAATTATTAATTTACAAAATACTGGCGATGCAATTACACAAAAGTTAAAATCACTTGAGCAGACATCGAATCAAACTGAACAAATTATCAATAAATATATTAACTCTGTAAGTCATATTTTACTTTCACAAGTTCAAAGCTTAAAGATAAATTTGAACTATGAACAGTGACCATAACGCTTTCACGATCCCAGATCAATTAAAATTTTATTCTATAAAACATCAAGTATATCATGCCTAAAATACCTCATACTATCAGTCTTTTTAAAAATGCAAAATAAAAAACAAATATATCCACTTGCTAATAGTCTCTGTCTAAGAGATAGCATAAATATAAAAACTAGAAGTATCTCGATAAGTCAAGATTGAATATTTCAATATGAGTGTCAGTCTTTACGACGACGTTCACAGTTTTAAACACGTTAAATTATAAAAGTAGTAACTATAAGTTACTGCATATCTTATGTTGAGAGTGCTGATTGGTTGTGTAATTAACATACAACAAGAAGCTTGTATGTAGATAAGATGAAAAATGTGCCTTGAAAATACTATATGCCAACAGCATATCAAAACAATGATGAAGCTGTGTTTTATATTTAGTTCATTTTGTATATCATCTAACCAATCTGAACAATTATTTTCAAGTCATTGATTGAGGTACAGCTAGCTTACATCATAATTCTAGATTACTTATCTTGCTGTGCTCAAAAGCCATTGATCTTTCTCTGGACATACTAAACAAGAAAATTTTATTACCCTTACAGTTCATTTAAATGTGACTCTAGCCAGATGTTCTTTATCGTATGTCCTCTCTCTTGAAGATAGTACTTTTACCGTAATCACATCTCTAAATCTAACTTAAATGAGTTATAAACATTGAATTTTATCTAATTTATTGTTAATAATAAAAGGAGATTGAAAAAGATAGCACGATTCAACGACTTCAGACGGAATCGGAACACATACGTCACCAGTTAATTGAAAGCGAGACAGAACTACAAAGCAGGTCTTCACAAATAAAATCATTAACGTGTGAATTAGAAGCTGTGAAAGCAGACCTGGCAGACTGTACTCTGCACAGAAATTCAGAAAATCTTGCACGTAAACGTATTGAGGTAAGTGAAGGTAATTAGCTTAATCTATTCGTTTATTAGTTTCAAATATAGATTTGAAATATTAAGAGATATTACAAACAGGTTTCTTCACCATGATAAGTTGTTGCTGATGATATCCGGTCAACGAACATTAAGTATCTTGCGCAGACAATAGTTTAAAAATACCTGTACCTCTCGATGACGGTTGTGCTAGTTCTACAAGTTTCAGATCCGTATAATATAACTGTGGTGACATTCGTATTGAAGATTGTGATTTTTATATTGGTTGACAATTGTTTCGAGTTCCATATGTTATTCAAGTGTAGGAATGCTGTCCTCACTTTGAGAATTCTTGCATTCACATCTGCATCAGATCCTCCTTGTACATCGATGATGCTGTCCAGTTACGTGAAGGTTTCCACCTCTTCCAGAGTTTCTCCATCACGTGAGATTGTGTTGGTGTTCCTCGTGTTGTATTTGAGGATCTCGGTTTTCCCCTTATGTGTGTGTGTGTGTTGAGGCCTACTGATACTAAGGTACCCGCTACATTGGTTGTCTTGACCTGCATTTCTTGTTGTGTATGTGATAGAAGGGCCAGGTCATCTACAAAGTCCACATCGTCTAGTTACATCCAATCTGTCCATTGTATTCCGTGTTGCCCCTGAGAAGTAGAGGTCTTCAAAATGCAATCAATCACCAGAAGAAAGGGAATAGGTGGGAGGAAACAGCCTCGTCTGACATCGGTCTTCACTGGGAGTGCATCTGTCGGCCGTCCACCATGCACGCGACTTTGCAGTGCAGTCCGTCGTATGAATTTCGGACGATGTCGGCAATATTCACAGGTACACCATGGTTTCGAAGAAGGTTCCATATGGTCCTCCTATCCACACTGTCAAACTCCTTCTCATAGTCAAGGAAGCTGATGTGTGGTGAGTGACTATTTCCTTTCAATTGATTGTTAACAATGCTCCGTGTGTCGCGATTTGGTCTGTGCACGACCGATCCTTACGGAATCTGGCCTGTTGACCTTTCCGAATAGAACGTGGAGAACGTGTACGGCTACCTGTATGTCTGACTCCAATGCTTCATCTGGTATGTTATCTGGTTTTGATGCCTTCCCAGTCTTGATTTGTCTGATGGCCATTTTGATTTCTTCGATTGTGTGTGTGGGGTGACATCTGTGTGGAGGATTGTGTATGTTGCTTGGATGTGTGGAGGATTGATTTAGTCTATTCTATTCAAGAGTTCTCGAAACTGGATCCTCTGAATTTTTCATTAAATCAAAGATGATTTACTTGATTGTCTGTATTGTGGTCGGGTGATAGTTCTGCTTTGTGTATAGATTTGTGAGGTGCTCTATCCATCTGTTCCACTATTCTTGAAGCTCAGTGATTTGGTTGTCTTCTCTGTCCTTGACTGATCTCTCTGGTTTACTCTATTAGCCTGGCTGTTCCTTCGTTGTGTCTTATAGTTTTTTTTCTGAATTCCTTCCCTTGTAGCTTTTTCTGCTGTTGTTAGTAGGTCTTCTACATATTTCCATTTGTCTGCTGCAATGCTCCTCTTCATTCGTTTGTCTGCTTCTGTTTACTCGTCCTGTGTCTCGGCTTTATCTTCTCTTGTTGATTGATGTCTGCTTTTTCTTTATTTCTTGAGTCTTACCTACGGCATCATTTGAAGTCCATTCCTTGTAGCCTAGCACATCCTGGCACGTTGATGTTAATGCCTTTTGATCCCTTTACAGTTATTCTGCATAGTAGATTCTCCTTGAAGTAGATCTTTTAGGGCTTGGAACGTATTGCTGAGATCTATCCCAAATTAGTTGAGTTTGTCAGTATCCTGAAAGAAAGCTTTATTGAACTTTTGTGATGTCATTTTCACAGTTGGTCAGTATTTCTTTAGCTTCAGTTCCATTTTGGACACAACCAGGTGGTACACCATTATTCTTCAACCTGATCGTCTAAATGTAACGTAGTCATTGAAATATCTGAAAGTGTTGGGCCTAATCCTTAATGGTCTGATGACGATACTCTGTTAATCAATTGAATTGAGGTTTAAGTGGCTTTGAAATCCCGACTAACTTTCAATGGCTCTTCAGCTGAAATCAATTCATGATGAGATTTCCTAGATTTGATTTATCATGTCATCACATTAGATTTCAATACATATCTTTATAATTCTAAGTAGTTCAGGTCAACGGTCTGTATTACTCTAGCTTTTCTAAATGTGCTTTATCTGTTATTAGAAATTTCCAGGGAGTAAACAACGTTTGTCGACTCACTGGTTATCGAATTCATTTGACTAAGTTGCGTTGGGTTCCAATCATAATAGATCTTTAATTCCCTTCCAATTAAATGCATGTCTTGTTGACGAGTATCAACTACTTCAAATTACTTAGCTATTAACCCACTTTCCATCTTGAATGTAACATAAAAGAATGAAGTTATGATAAAAACAACTAAATGACTTCTGAGAGCAGGTTTCGCAGTATGGAATTCATAAGATTCAGATTTTTGACCAAGTAAATGGTTTTATTGTAACATACTTGAAAAACGGAGCATCTTGAGATTGGTTTCCAACCTTCCGAGTGGATATTTGATTGAAATTTATTTCGGATAGCATTCGTTCTGGGTGAATGATATGGGATTGATGGGGAATGACGCTGGCTACAGATAGTATCCAGGATACATGTTTCGAGATGGTGGGGAAGATTTGTAGCTCAAGTGGATGATTTTGATGGAGTTTTTTTCTGAGCTGGGTGGTTTGGTCAGAAGAACGATGAAAGCTCCACGAACGACCCATCCAGCTCAGAGAACAAAACTCCATCTAAAAAAGGATACACGTTTTTCACAACTTTCAGGGGAATACACCTGTATCCCAATAAGTGAAATAATAGTAAAAGTGTTCAAGAGTCCAAACTCAATGAAATGGCGTATGGTACATAGTTTTTATGTTGCAAAAAACTGACTACTCATTTAGTTATGTTTTTTGTGTAGTAAGGAGATTTCGAGATTGCCATTTGGAGATTTTCAGTCATTTCTAGATTCTTAATTCTGCCAGTTTACTAGTGAGTGACAACTGAGTGCTTTTATTACTCTTTGTATCTGTGTCTATGTTTATAGTTAGAAGTGGCGGATCTTCGGGAAATGAAACTAGCTTTTACAGAACAAATTGAAAGACAAGAGCAATTCATTGAGCGGTTACAATCTGAGCTTTCAAACGAACGTGAAAGAAACGATTTTCTTAATAAAATTAAAACAGATAAAGAAAGAGAACTTCATAGTATCACAGTATGTTCACCGATAAAATTCTTGATATAAATATTGACTAATTACTCCTGCAATAAAATTATGCTAAGATTATGATTAATTTCTATGAATCATGATTATATGAATGATTTTCAAACAATTTCTATTTTAAACCAGTGTAAGTTGAAAACTAATGGTAATAAGAGCCAACATTACAATGAATAGGTATCTGTTGCCCTATGAATTGTATTGCTGCATTAACTGATTTCAAGTAGGAGTGAAAGTCAAATAATCAAGTTTACATTTTTACGAGTATCTAAACGAGACATCTTTCAAAATACGGTCTCTTATTCTAGGATTAAAAAACTAAATCTCTTTTATAATAGTTGATACCAGAATTACGTAAAGTCGTGTCGATTTAAAAAAATTGTTTATTTTCTGAAGAGACTACTCAAACTAAGTAGCGATACTTTATTCAAAAGTTTAGGTTCATAAAAACATAAATTGTTTGTTAAAATACTCCCAGTTTAGTTAAAGTCTCTGATGTTTTAAGTATCGTTGACCACTGGGATAAATGAAGAGAAAATGACCTTTCTTACAAATTACCAGTAAAGATAATGGGTAACTAGTGAAAGACATTAAAAATAATAATAGTAATAAATTCATGACAGGTAATCCAAAATTAGACTGAATCAAATAAACATATTTAACGGTACAAACATGTAGTATGAATAAGATAATCAAAAATGAAATGTGAAGTTTAACCGACAACAAAACAGATGGTGTGGATATACAGATCAAACCAGCTGTAGAATATTATGCCAAAAATGATACTTTACTTTTAACGAATAAAATGAATGACAAAAACCATTTTGGCGATGTATATCCAACAAGAAAATAATGAAAAAGCCAAAGTTAAGATCTAAAATATCTTAAGTCGGGAGTAAAATGTAAAAATTAACAGAAATCAATCATTAAATTAAACAAAACGGTGTTGAAAGATGCTTTGTCTAATTTTGAGTAGTATGAACAAGAGCAGATCAGTAAATAAAGATTAGAAACAAAGTTACATTTGAAGGTAACTTACTTTAAGCTATACAAGTTACGGTTGTCACAATGGACATATTAAATAGGGGATGATTCACAGACATACCTGTAGCAATATTACACTCGTCAACAAAGACTGTCTTAGACTATCGACTGGTAGGATCCTATTCTCTCCTTTTCTTTATTGATAAAATAACTTGCTGGATAGGCTCTAGGAGCAAATTGGGTCTGTTATAAATTATTTACAAATGGTCTTACTGAGGTAAGGCGTACGAAATAGAGTATACTGAAACAGAAATTGATACAGATTTTCACATGAAGAGACATTTCCCAATAATTGTCATAATCCAACTTAAATTTTTGTTTGTAGGATATCAAGTTTGAACTATAAGAGGAGCTTGTTTTCGCAGCCTTGTTGTTATTATGGTGGTTTTGGAGGATTTCCTTTAGTTCTTCATATTAATAAACACCAGTTCAAACTTGTATATATATATATATATATATATATATATATATATATATATATATATATATATATATATATATATATATATATATATATATATATATTATCCAAATTGTTAAAGCGAATAGTTGATGAAAATATGTATGAAGGGTTTTGATTGGCCAGTTCACAACCTTGAAAGATACAACTAAAATTATTAATTGGTAAATCCCTTTTGAAATCAAAGTACGTCAAAACAAAGTTAAACCCGCATCCTGGACGCTACTAAAAGTTAAATACAGATTTTCAGCCTTGAAAAGTCAAAGTTGTTTTAAAAAAGAGGTTTAGAATTTCGGTATTTCTCACGATAAACTCAAGAAAGATTGAAATATAGACGTAAATTAGGAAATAAAATGTGTCAGATTCTAGAGATGACTGGCAATGATCTAGTTTATTGATGATTTGATGCTTATGAAAATGTCTGCTACAACTTTCTTATTACTTTTGCATCGTAGATTTTGTCATTATAACCCAATAAAATTGGGAGAACAGGGGATCAAAGCATACCTATCTAGGTCTGTAATCACTTTAAACCACTGAAAACAACCGAAGTATCCAGAAATATGAAATAATTTTCAAAGGAAATACTATATATGTTTATTTTATACGGCACTACTCAATTTAAACTGAATAATTGGAAACTTATGTAACCCATGTTCAAATATTTTTACTATAAAGGATTAATGTAATAGACTACACGTTCCTAGACTTCAACCGCAGTAAAACTTACTCACTAAAAGATATCTAAAACTAATTTTTTTGATTGTCACACTTTTGGAATATTGTTACATGGCACATCTAAATTGTTTTGCCAACTCATTTTCTCAGTTTATATAACTCTACCAAATGATAAAACTTCACTCATCAAGAAAATATTATATCAGTTATGTTAATGTTATTTTTTGGTCATAGAATGAAGTGGACCATCTACATCAGCACAACAAAGAACTTTCTAGTCGTTTGCTAGAACGTGAATCAGCTTTAGATTCTATGTCACGTGAATTGGAAATATTTACTTCGAGACTAGATACAACTTCAAAAAGTTTAACAGAAACTGAAGCAGAATTATTAGAAACAAAACATAAATACGAATTATCTGAAGCTAAAGCAAATAAGCAAAAAGATGAGGTTAGTTTGATTTTGATTTATATATGTACCTTACTTTAAAAGTGTTTTGTTTGTTTTACTATTAAGTAATGAATAATTTGATGATAAACCGTGAAACACATATCATTTATATACGGTGACTTTAATTGATGTCCAATTGAATTCACTTATTTATTCACAGAATATATCATCAAGTGGTATGATTTGGAAGTTACTAAAAACCAAGAAGAACGTGAAATACATTTTGACAGTATATTTTCGGGAACCTAACTTGCAAAATGCTGGGTTACCTAGTTTGGATATACTAGCTAATTTGCATTTATTCCTAATAGGTCAAAATCGTCTACTAATACATTTCGACGAGGCTACTTCTCATTCTCAAAATATTATGTTCTTAAACGATATTATTAACTATAACTGAGTAGTAAATTAACTTTGATGTACATTATTACTAGAAGTTTGTATTTTTAAATGAGTAAAAAAGACAAATTCAGTATTTTTACTGGCTGTTCGTTATTCATTGCTCACAGCTTCATCAAAATGATGGTCAACCAGAATTTTCAAAAATCTCAATCTGTATCAATTCATTCACTCAACAACACAGATTAACTTAATACGGGAGAACTTTGATTGGATATAAGCTGAGATTTTTGTAAATTCTGGTCTACTTTTACTTTAATAAAACTATTACCATCCATTAAAACACTTGACTTTTTGTTTTCACTCATTGGAAAATACAAATTTCTAATAATAGTGAATATTATTTACCAGATGCCCAAATTTTTTAAACTACTCAATCTGAACTCTGTTTGAATACCCATGCATTTACTATGATATAGTCTATTACCAATTGTTAGTTGACTGCTGTTCAAGGTACTGGTCTCAATTAACTTACCTAAATCAAATAATAATCTAAATATGGTTCTGATAAATAAAAATAAAAAGCATGATCTATTGAGTAGTGAATATTTTTCAAACTGATATTAATTTAAAATCAAAATGTTGGAAAAGCAATCGAGTCTCAAACGTGACAAATCTTCGCATATTTCAGTAATGAAATGCTTACCTAACTTTATAGGTCTCATTAATTTCAGTTTAATTGATTTTCTACGTGAACATCTTATACATAGTGTTGTGGATGCAGAGGAATAGACCAATAATTATCATGTTAAGTCCAATGGTGTCCTTGGACTTTAAATGGACATTTCCTATTGGTCGATATCTGTTCACTCGTTGAATATTGTACAAAATGTTGTTTTCTATTTTATGGTACGATGTGGTATGCTTGATTGGTATATAAACAAAGTATGTTTGAAATATAATGATTCATAACCCAGAGGCTGTGACTTGCGTTCTTGACTCAACTGGCTGGGGCTAGACAGGGAAGCGAGGCCAATCAGGGCACTAGGTCGTCCTTACGTGTTTACGTGTCACTGTCCACTGTAATCGATCGATATAAACTCTGCTTATCAAAACCTGCAGTCCCACACGTTACAACACATAGAAACACTCTTCAGTAGTTCGTATTAAATGAAACAGCTTATCAGTGTTTGCTGATTTCTAAAGGTTCTCAAACTTCGAAGTTTTAGATCCACTACTCGTTTCCCTTAAGATGAAGAAGCCTTATAACTCCGTCAAGAGTAAACACACCACTACAGGTTACTGATTCATGAGTTTACTAATTATTAATCAGAATATATTAAAGAAATACGGATTTCCTCAAAGGAATTTTCAAGATAGTAGGATTCTGTAGTTGCAGACCATATTAGGCATAGCTTGGAACTAATTATAAATCCATTCACTATATTTGCTCTTCTTAAATATCTTGCTACTTTTTAGATAATTTCCGGTGAAACTCACTTATATAAAATCGAGTAACTTAAATATAAGATAGTTATACGACATTTTGAATACATAATGTGACGAAATCATACCCACAATACTGAGGAAAATTAGCACAAATGAACACCTAGTAGCATAGTGATATTACGCAAGTTTCATGTGCTAAATTACGTGAAATTCAGTGAGTAAAAAGAACATGCCTTAAGAATGAGCCAGTTTCTCTGGTTCATTTCATTCAACTGACTAACAGAGATGATCGGTGAGAATAAATACAATACAGATATAGTTTTGTATTTATCTCCTACATATACGTCACTCCCACGATCTGACAAAGGACGTTGAGTGCATACAAATGTTTAACAAATGTAACATATTTCAATGGTTGAAATCATGATTCAATTGAAGTTATACCACCATGGAAAACCTGGAAGCACTGGACGACCGTTTCGCCCTACTACGGGACTCCTCAGTAGTGCGCACCCACGATCCCGCTCCCCGCGAGATTCGAACCCAGAACCTATCAGTCTCGTGCGCGAGCGCCTAACCATTGGACCACTGAGGCGTTACCAGTGCAGTTCACCCAGGTCTCTTGTGAGATATCAACTCACCGAAGACAATGGTGTACGGTGGCGCAACTTCTTGGATTGGTTGAAGTTAGGCAGTAACACCGTTGGATGCCGGCTCAGTGGTCTAATGGTCAAGCGCTCGCGCGCGAGACTGATAGATCCTGGGTCCGAATCTCGCGGGATCGTGAATGCGCACTGCTGAGGAGCTCCACACTAGGACGAAACGGTCGTCCAGTGCTTCCAGGTTTTTCATGGTGGTCTAGCTTCAATTAACACATGATTTCAACTATTGAAATTTCTAAAAAAAAGTCCCCACAAAACCCTTTCTAAAAATATAACATAAATTGACCAATAGCAGACTATTAACCTGCCATGCATTATATTGTCTAAACACTTCGTAAAATCGACTTTTGTAAAGTTTGTACGGTAACTTTCTTAATCAACTACTGACACGTAATATCAAACCAACCTACTATATTCATCCTTACACTCAACCAAATGACTTTACTTGAGTAAATGGTGCTTAAATTAATATTTTAAAAAAAGACATAAAACCATCAAAGAACCAGACAAATTATGATTTCGAGTCTTGTCCTTAAAGATAAATTCGTATTTATATTGTTGAAAATCAATTCATATGAAGTAAAAGGGATATGGTTATAAAAGTTAGTAATTATAATAAAAGTAGGTGGTTACATGATCAAGCAACATAATTACCATGCCTTGACTATCTGTTAAACAGATTAATCTTTTATGATTGGTAAGATATACTAACAAGCTAAGGAGTTTCGCAATTACTTAAGTTTCAATCCATGCACTATTTATTCAAATAAGTCTACAACTTTGTCACCTTACATTCTTCTGTTTTAGTTGAAACAGTATGAAATAACTTTATCGAGTTTGGAATCACGATTACTTGAAAGCGAAAGTCAACTAACGAAATGCACTGGCCAATATAATCAGTATGATTCAGTTGACCGAATTCAGTGTTCACACCTAACGGATTTAGTGAAAGATCTTAAACAACAAATAACAGAATACAAAAAAGTTACCACAGTTTTAAGAGTAAGTTTCAAGACGGTCTTTCTGTTAAAAAAATAACAATCTAGTGATTTTTCAGTATGATTATTAGATTAGAGTGTTATCATGACTTCATTTTCATTTTCTCAAGTGGTATCCACTTGTTAATGAAACAAAATAAAGATCAACCACCACATGATATTAGTCGTAGAAAACATGCTGCATGATCAGAGACATAATTTTAACTTCTTTTCATAAAAAAATTTCCCATGTACCTCTTAGCTATCTTAACGTTTAGAACTCAATAAAGGTCTATTTACTTAAACATCCCTCGTAAGCGTAGAATATTTTAGTCACAAGTAAATGTAACCAGTTAGTTACTTTGTTCCCACTATCTTTTACGGTGTTAGTTAAAACAAACCAACGACTTGAGTCTGCTACTTCCGTGATCGCGTTCGGTTCCCAAAACTCATCAGGTCTCAATTCCATTTTACTCACCGACTTTTATACTCAGTTATTAGGAATAAGGCTAATAAGTAAGAGTTCTTTAAGTATTGAGACATAAAATGAATGTAAAACAATGCTCAGTGATAAGTATACTGAAGTTTTAAGCAATTTTTAAGGAATTATTGATAAATTACTTGCGTGTCTTTTCTGGTTTTCTAGCATTTTATGTAAATTAGTAATACTAATGCTTTATTGGTTAGGTCATTCACATTGTAATCACATTTCCAAATTTCTTCAGGGTTATGTGATTCACCCATTACAAGGATCAATAACATACATTCATCTTCATGTTAACCTTATCTCATGTTCATTATTCATAAAGAACTCTTTAAAACAAGTCAAGAAAACTAATATTGCATAGTTTCTAACAAATGTTTTCTTTTATACTGAGAATGTGTTTGATTTGAGTATCACACTCTGGATCCGCATAAACAGTAATAATAAACTTCATTTCATTAACTGATATTTTCTGCTCATCATCAAACAATATGACAAACTTTTACTAATACTAATATCGTACTTGTGCTATTGTCTTTTGAAAACAGTTATGTACTTAAAAATTCGCTACTACGGTCTAATCCAAGTAAAGTAATGATCACGCATAGCTAAAGAAACTTAATCCCTTTCAAAAGTGAATTCAGGACTTGCTAATCATTCCCTCATGATTAAGTAATATGACTTTTCCCAAACATTTCAGGATTTTCAAATAACTTTTCTACATTTGTTTATTATAGTTGTGAAAAACAAGTTATGAATACAATAAGTATTGATCATCTTAACCCAATTCATTTGAAGAAATTATTTATTATTCATTGGTTTATTTGTGCATTTTGTCATGGTTTCTTTGCTAAGACCGAAAGAGCTCAATTACAAGAAACAGTCAATCGTCTTGAAGGTGAATTAGCTGCACGGTCAGATGCATTACGCAAAGCAACAGTCGATATTACACGTATGAAAACGAAGCATGAAACAGAATTAAGAGATAAAACAGATCATCTAAATGAATCACTTTACCAAATGGAAAATAAATGGAAAGAAGCGTGTAAAACAATTGAAAAGCTAGAGAAAGAATACAAAGATCAAGAATTCAAACTTATAGAAGCATCAGCAAACGTAAGTTATATAATTTAAAGTGTTTAGCAAACTATGTAAATGATAAGCAGATAATAATCCTCCAATGAAATTAATATCACTGATTTAAAACAAAGCTTTTGTGTCAATACTATCTTCAGACAGTTATTTGTTCCTTGAATAACATTGCCTGATTATTTCTGCTAACGATAAGGTTATCAGATTTTACACATGATTATTATAGTTTCCTTTCGTTTTGTAGAGTAGTGATGAAAACAAACTATTAAAACAGAAACTAGATTCAATAGAGTCAAAAAACCGCATAATGCACAATGAACTTGAAACAGTTAAATTATCGAGAGAAAATTTACAAAATGAATATAATCATGTCAAGGATGAACTAGATAAATTAAGGTGACTATTTCAAAGCTTTTATATGTTATTGTAAAAATAGAGTTTTAAATACTTTATTTGGACGAAACGACAAGGTTAGTGTATTTATATGGTTTAACACATTGTACGTAGGAAAAGTATCTAAGGTATAAAACTGTCTCTTTAAGTAATTTAGTATAACATCTTACAGAACTAATTTAGCTCCGTCCAACTTATACACTAAAATTTTGAGTCAATCCCCTCAGGTTGCATATATAACTATAGAGGTTAACAAATCGCAGTCCTTAATGTTAACAATCAGAAAAATCAAACTCTTACAAATATATGTAGTATTTCCCTAAAATCCCTGATCTTTCTTTTGTGTGATAGTAAAATGCTACAAAACATCAAACGCAATAATGTAAAAGATGGTAAACAAACCAACATATTATTATTGTATTCCATTTTGACCGACCATTCATGAATCAAAAAGAAATATTCATTTTAAATTGAGATTCCTACCGTGTATTTAAGAGAAGTAGAACTCTTCACTTTTATCGAGGTAGATATATACGGTAGGAAATAAAGTTATACGCTGTCTATCATTTAGGATGTATACAATCACGAATAACTTAAGGAGAATGATAAAAATGAAAGTAGATCTGAAGCTCTCTACTAAAAAAAACAATGAAATGGAAAAAAATGCCCAAACAACCTTTAAAGTAGATAAATGACGTATAATATTCATAGTTTACTCTTATTCTTCTGAGAATAATAGACTAATTTGCATTTTTATAATTCAGACTTAAAAGTGAGAGTACTACAGTAAAAGTTTCGGCTGGTATTCAAGCTGTTCAAAAGTTGGAAAATGCCAGTACAAATACGGAGAATATTGAAAAAAATGAAATGGAATATTTACCTAAACTTCAACTCTCAAGGTTTGTGATTATTTTTTGTAGTTTATCATGTTTTATTCTCATACTTACACAAAAGTATACTTCATATGTAAGACTACCTAGAATGATTTTCATGGAAATTCAGCAGTTAGACATAGGTAGAATGCCGCCATATACTAACTAGTTTTGACTAATCAGTGTTTTTTGCTTATTACTACTGATTTTGGTTTAAATACTCAATATTTGCCAAAGTAACTCTAATCTAAATTATGGTGGTATAGTGCTGGTATATACCTAATCACGCAATACACTCAAACAAGATACATCCATTTGATAGAGTATCAGATGCAGTCTAGAATACGAGCATTCTACTTGAGGTGAGAGGACAGAAGTATATATACGACAGAACTTATACGTGGTATACCAGATATATCCGTTTACACCCCTTCATTAACCACGCATCACTTTGGTTGGGAATATCTAAAGGACTCAGATTTAAGGGCGAATTTCATGTAAAATATGTTCTTTTATAGCAATAATTAAAAGTCTTTTCCCAAAAAATGTTTGTCGAGACAAGAGTTGACTGCCGTAACTTTTCAAGTCGTGAATATTTCAGTTTGAAGATATGGGTATGAATTTTAATAAAAATCATAAGTTCGTGATTCTGATAATAAACTCTGATGACTCAAATAAGAAATATAAATTTTATGACTTAAATATTTTGTTAAACGATGAAAGGTTTCTAAACAACATAAAGTTACCTTTAACAATAAATTTGTTTTAAAAACATTGATAATTGAAATCGTGAAATAATAGAAAGCTGTTTAGTTTATTTGCGGAGATTCTGGTAATTGCACTAGAAGTCGTCTGATTCTGCAACAACCATTAAATCATAACTACTTGAAGAAATCAATCATAAAATTGCGATGCCTGAAATTTAAGGGCTTCTGGTGTATAGAAATCGGTCTCAGATGATAGTCCTATGTCTGTTGTATGACTATCTGAGACTGCGTCTCAAAGGTTGATATGGTGAATGAGAAATCTGAGAGACTAGTTGGTAAGAGATTTCTTCTTTACATGGAGAGAACGGTACATATTCTCATAGTAGAAATATGGACTACTAAATGAACCAATTTATTTGATTCATTATGACATGATCTTCAAGATGATAAGTAAACAAATCCATTGAAAAAACAGTTAGGATTCCTGGACACCATAACACAGATTAATATTTATTTGCTGATTACAATTGAAATCCTAATTTTTAATGCTATTTTAAGAATAAAATTATATATATTCTTTGTTGAAAACAAATATATACTTTTGTTTCGTAGTAATAGATCTAAACAGTATTCAGAACGAAATAAAATGCGTAACGCATCACCTTATGAATCTGTGAAATTTACTAATCATGATTTAAACAGTTCCGATAATTCACCTGATTCCATCGAATCAAGAGTGGAAGCACTTAAACAAGCTAATCATTATTTAAGAATGGAAGTCGAAAATGCATGTAAAATGATAAATTCAAGTGTTTTAAATAAGAATAAAATGGAAGAAGAATTTCTGTCCATGCCAAAAGTAAAGTATCCAAATTTAACTCAGTTTGATCTTGGAAATCATAAACACAAAGTGAGTTATTCATATTTAAACGAATATTAATTCACTTCTAAATTGCCTCTCTTGTAACAATGAAGAAAAGACTGATATAATTAGTACCATTAGGATAAATTCTACTGTACACTGATATATGGCTATTGCATGTGAATAATGGCATCGAAATATTTTAATAAATCAACCAAACATCTTTCAGAGATGTTCATTTCCTTTTATAGAGAGAAGATAAATGAGATTAAATGGTCAACTTACACTCTGTGTGGTGCCTGAAAGCAACTTTTGCAACCATCTAGATACAACTCTATCTTGGGTGTTAAACAATCTCTACTGGAATAGAACTTTATCCCAACGGTGTATTATTTCAGCTTTCAAGTTCACTTTAGTTTCAAAAACTGTAAAACATATTTAGGTTCACAACTAGATAAACTACTGTCTAATAATTAATATTATTCCTTACACTAGACAACTGCTTCCATACAGTATAGAACTCCTCGGTAGTTAGTACTCATGGCCGAACCCAGGACAGTCAGCTAGCTCTTATCTATCAGACTACTGGGTTATTATCAAAAGGTACACATTTACAACATATCGATTCTCTGTATGGTGCAATGACCATCCAACCTCATTGGCGACAAATGTTTCGGTTCCGATACGTTTGAACTCCAAACAGCTGTCCAGTTCTCTGTGGTTTTCATCAGCATCCCAACTGAGATCGGTCAGTCGCAAATATTATCGATAAATTAGCCTAGTATGTACAAGACCTCTACTTGAAAACAATAATAGTTTACATTACGATTTCAGACAACCGCTGAGATCCAGAAAGGACCGTATAGCTATTTCGTTTTAGTATATGAGTTCTCGGCGATGCAGAACCACGACCTTACCAGAGGTTGGATTGATGAGTTCTATATTATGTAAAATCTTCATCATTATAAAATCAACAGATTAACCTCCGACTGTATAGTATAAATATAGTAAATTGGATGGAAATTAATCATCTACTAAGTGCAATAAGATCACCACTAAAAAATAGTAATTAACAGCAAAAATTACTCACAAATTTAAAATATGCTAAAACTCATTTCCCCGTGAAATACATCTATGTGTTATTTTCTATTTTCTCACCTCAAGGTTGGATTTTTCGATGAATCTGATCACTGCATAGAGTATAGAGATGAAAGTTTGGTTGAACAAGAATCGAAAACTGTTTGGCTTGAACGAGCTGAATCCGTAAGATTTGAATTAAAAATGGTTGATCTATTATAATAGCATTTATGAACAGGCAACAGCTAATTACTTTCCTTTTAATGCTATTAGAGTGAATTTCAATATTAGAACAGGGCATCAAAAAGACACATCAAGTGTCTTAAAGATAGAAATGAATAAATACTAGCTCCATTTTTTAGCCTAAGACGATCAATCCTGACCTATATTAAGTAGAACTAAGTAATCAGTTTTTCTGCAGGCAATCTGTGATAGAGATTGCTAATTATTTGTGAATTGTTCTTCAGTATTCATACAAATTTAAACGAGTTAAATATGTAATTTTCTAAATCCTTTGGTTTCACGTACGGATCTTAATAATTTTTAACACTGTTAAGTCTACGCTCATGAATACAAGTTTAGACGAGTATCAGAAACATCAACGCCAATGTTCATTGAGATTTTATTCAAAAATCAGCCATAGCCCACAGAACTCAATGAATATTATTGATGTTACAATACAGAATAATGGGTCACGATTAATTGATGCGGCACACCCAAAAAACATTAAAAGAATAGAAAGGGAAATAGCGGGATTGGTATGGACAACTGTTATATATTATGCAATTTAATCCAACTAATGTGGATCTAACTTCTATTTTGAAAACTAATTTTTGACCTAAATTTAAGAACAAAGGACAAATAGTACATTTATACTTTGTAAATCATTTAGCCCTGGATAATTCTTAAATTATACATATCCCCCCCCCATATTTAAAGAGCAGTTCCGATGGTTTTCAGCTAACAACTACTCTGAAAAGATAAATGATTATGAAGATCCAGTTGTAACTTGAGTTCCCTGTCCCTCCAGTAATTACTTACCCTTTTTATATTTCGAACTTTCACGATTCATTTAAATTATCAGAAAAATGACGTTCATGACAATTTATCTGACTAAAATTGGTTTACGAGTGATTTGGTCACTTAATACAAAATAGCATAACATACATGACTTGTGATTTTCGGTTAAATTGACTCTCACGATCTTTTCTTCAATAAAATGAAATTTGCTCTGAAATATTATATTTTCTTTATAAATGTACAACATGAAGCATTAATTTTGCATCGTCGTAATGATTGCTTCACTGGTTGTATTCCTTATCAAGTGACATTATTACTGGTTCTTATTTGTTGTTTAGTTCGAAGAACAACATTTATTTGTCCCACTAAAGCTGATTTTAAAAGTAATCTAAGCTGCGCTTGATACATTCTGCGTAGCTTGATGTAAAGATGCATCCGATAGACAGCTATTGATGACAACCATAAAACTGTCAAGATATATAAACTCAGAAAGATCCATACAGACAAACCAATTTTTTTCTTCGAAACCCAGTAATTTTCCTGGATTTGTTCTCCCGCTCTAGTAGTAAACTCTTTTCTCGAATTATCAATTAAAAATTGCTCAAACTCTTTCCATAAATTGATGAAGATTCCAATTATCAGACGAGATATAGCTCCTCCATCTACATGACATTCTCTGACAGACTTTGCGCCTATGTTATCCGTAGTAAAGCCAATGGGACATTGCAGACATCCTCCACTTGACGGGTAATTTGTTTCACCTGAGTAGTAACCCTTAGGACACAAGTGACAACCATTAAATGCATATGGAGTTTGAGGAGCATGACCTGGAGGACATGGATGGCATACGAGTGACCATTTTGTTAGTGGATATGCTGATGAGTTTTTGAATAATGATTCATCATACTCACTAGGAGTGATTGACTTGAACAAAGGTGGTGGCTGATACGTCTGACTACCTGGTGGACAGACTACTCGTATGCGAGTAGCAATTTCGCGTGTAAATAAACTGTCCTTTATTACTGATCTTTTAATGAGTTCGTCCATTTCCGCTTTTAGAGTAGCATGAATATAGTTAAAAAGACTTCCTGCAGGACTTAATAAGAAGAAGATCGGTTCATGTGATAGTTCAATAAGTATTGATATTTCTGTGAATTTACTTTTCGGTAATTCAACTGGCAAAGAATCTGTTGGTTTCTTGAGTGAGGTCAGTGGCACCACTTGTACTACTATATCCTGACAAGGACTTAACTTATATTCAGCTATATTTACTTTTGATTTACACCAGTGTTTTATATTAGTCAATGTTTGTGTAAGGTTTTTCTCTGTTACTAGATCTTTGGAAAGTGCTTCAAGTGCATAACTCCATACTATGATTGGTGGAGTGTAAACGTGGAAAGCAAATTGTGCTTGCTTAACAATTGTACTATCACGTTGAAAGAAAGCCCATTTGTTTTCAACACCAATTATTGGTGTCGATCTAATAGCTGCACACGTGACAATTTCCATTTCATGAGTGAATAGAAGTTGTTTGATTCCCGCAAGTGTTTCACTGTATTTTGGTTCCAAATTCATTTCTACACCTGGTATACCTTCATTCTTGAGAGCATTCTGTACCACAGGTACTTCGCTGACTCCAGTTAAGGGCAAGTAGATAGTTAAAACTTCACCAACATGAATTACCTCTCCTCCTCTGTTGAACCATACTGTTATAGTATTAGGCAAACTTCTCTCTTTCAGTTGTCTATTCCCTTCCAGCCAGTCATTTATATTTCCTTCCTGAATTTGCTTCAACCAACACGGCAAATAAAGTATTTTTCCAGATGGTATCCATAGAGTGTGGGTACTGACTTGATGTGCGTTGAAAAATTTAACACCGGATAATAAAATATGAAACAGATATATCTCTGACAGTTTCATGGGAAATGTAAATTCGTAGTGATGTACTGATTTTTTTAAAATGAAATCAACTTGTGGCCATCAATAATCGATAAAACCATAAGTGTATTAAACTATTCTTTAATTATTCCACTGCAAATTTTATATAGTTTTAGCATTAGTTATTCCGTTTCGCAATCATATCATTATGTCTTCATTGTCATAAAAAGCTGTTACCTCACTCTCAAACACTTTTTCGGATGCTAGATCAAAATTAAATTTTGGTGTCGCTTATTTTGTTGACTATAAAGGTATCACTTTTAGTTATATCGATAAAATCATCCCAACAGAACCACTACACGTCATTAGCGAAGTACGCAGCACAATTAAGCATATCACAAAGTTTATGAAGTGGACTTGGGCAGTTGAATACCGTTTTTAACATAAACTTTGCGAGGTTCCTCCCGTATTGAATAATCTATCTTTTCATATTCTAACCATAAATAGCTAGGTCGGACTTTCACATATTTGTTTTGGTTAGTTCAATAATATTTTCATCCGGAATACATACCATAATCGTTTTGTTTTAAGCCTAGATTATGAACCTCTATACTTCATTGCATTAATTAAATAAGGCCTTAACATTCACTTTCTAATTTATTCAGTAAACACTATGATTGCTTATCCCTACAAATAATTCCTTCTATTTCATTAACATTTTATCTAGATTTCACAAAAATTCCATGATAACAACAATTACTGGTCAAATAAATTAGAAAATATTGATAAACTAAAAAATTCCGGTCGAGATACTATACAAAGCACAGAACATCAATCACACACAATTAGAACAAATACAAATACTGACCGAAAAGTGAAGCCCACTCGTCTCAGTGATTCCAACACTGGTGTTAACGGTAATACTGGACGGAGTAAATTAACAAAACTAGAACCAACAGACTACCATGTGAAATCTGGTGACAAATTCGTTAAAATTACAAGTATGTCTAGAATTAATCAAGTCCCAATTAAGCACATATCTACGTATCGCAGTTCAAGAATAAAATAATAAAAATGTTGAGCCTTGTTGTCTTTCTATATTTTGGTAAATCAAGGGGAAAGCAAAGCATCCATTACGGTCATCCATCCAGCATGTACAACTTTCTGTACGCAGGTGTAAGCCACACTACTTTTGTTAGGGTCAATAATATTGAAGTGAACGAGAACACAAGTCGGGAAAATCGAATGTATTTGAAACACAAAATTACAGAACATAGTGAAATCTGAGAACCATACAGTAAATGCATAATTTGTAAACTCTCAATCAATCATCTCAAAATTGACTGCTCCTTTTGCAAATATCGGTCAATCGTCTCAGACTTCATTGTCCTTTCGTTTCCACACCTATCATTCTTTGTTCTCGTTCTCTTTTCTATGATCTTCTTTACCTTCTGCCTCCAGGCATTTCACTTTCGGTTGGTGATACGTACTACTTATCTGTCAACATCAGTAGCACACCGCAATATGAACCGACCGAGGATAAGACGTGCAATCCATTATATTGGAGACTAATTGGTCTAATGACTACGCTAATGCTAATGGTGTAGATGATTAAGCTTCATTAACAGAATTATTAAGAATGCTTTGTATAATGAAATGATTAGGATCTTCTCTTAAACAACAATTTAGTACTAATCATGGGATCCCAAAGTTAATTCAAAGCCTATTTTTTGTACTGTCATCTTCCATATTTATTTAGGCACACCGAAATAATAGTAAGCAGATAAATTTTATCTTACAGTCTTACAACACTAACTTAAGCAATCATAGTTTGTTTCGTAATGATACATTTTCGTCTTTTTTAAGTAACCTACGCAGTATCTACTATTATTGATTTGTACAACTAAAGTGAGCTGTGATTCCTCAAGGTTTGAAGATGGATCTATTCGGTCACACTAGATATAAGAGACTAATTCATACAACTATGCTTAACCTGTACCTTTGTGTTAACATGTTCTTGTTGGTATCGATATCGCGTTCTCAATAAGCGGTCGAACTTGTATGACTGCATGATGTAACCGCGTAAAACTCATATTAAAAGTTACCAAACAGAAGCATTTAGGCTGCTAAAAGACGCAGATGTACAATCATCTATGGCCTATGTTTTTTAGAAGTGTAATCAATAGTCATGTACAAGTGACGACTACACTTATTACGCATTAACGCTGAACGGAAAGAAACAAGTGCTTCAGAATTATTGGATTAAATGTTAATTTTGAACATTGAAAACTGAATACTCATATTCCTGGTTATACATGGATATTATACAATTAATCTATCCTATTTAACGGAATGGCAATTACACTTCAAAGAAAATCTAAACGTTGAATACTTAGTTTACAGAAACAGAACTTTGTCTCAATAAAGGTTGTACTCCAATCCTGGAAAACTAACCATTAAGATAAAAATGAGTTACGTTTCTAATTACAGGCAAAACGATAACTTTGGAGTTGATTTATTTATTTTTTCCTTGTGTTTTGTACAAGTTGCAAAGCGAAAGTAGTGAAATTGTAGCTACCAAGTTCGTGAAAAGGCAAATAAAAAAGAGGTTTGACATAAAAGTTAGTGGTATTTTACATATGTATCAATGATTTACGTTTACTTCAATGTTTGAGAAATAAGATCAAATACAGATTGGTTTTTCATCAAGTCATGTCCAGCATGCTCAATTAGTATTTGCCATAATCGTCCTATAAAACGTGAAATTAATAAACCATTAGTTTTGATAACAAAAGAGGATATTGACGAGGAAAAGTACTTTTATACTAAGACAATAGTTGTAAACAGAACAGCCTGAAAGTGCTACTATAATATGGGGGCGATCCAATTAAAATAGGACCTGATTTTCGAGTTTTGCACAAATTCTCCAAATCCAAGGCACAATACATGATCCGTTAATGAGATATCTCTACATAATTAGAACAACTATATTTTATAAAAGTCTAGTCTATCAATCCGTAGTGATGGTGAACATTACAATAGATATCCGCAATATTTTCCTTAAAAATCTAAATTAAGATATGGTATTTCCATACACTCAATTTGATTTTGATTATGAACTGATTCATATGCAAAATATGGAACGAAATCCAGAGTAAAACGTAATGTTTTTGAATTTCACCAGAAGCAAGACACTATAGAGGCACTAGGCATCTCTGAAATAGTTAGGTCTCAAACCTTTATTAAGGTCAACCTTAGTATAAAATCAACTAAAAAATGGACGACAGAACTGGTCAAAAGTTGTAGCTTTATATTAAGATTTAGATAGTAATTACGCAATCAGATAAAGAGATTTGTTTAAATTAAAAAAGAAAATACACTTAAGCACCCTAGTTTGTACACCGTAGAGTACTTCGGTTAGAAAATTTAAGAAACTTTATTTCTGTCTATATAAATCTTAATAAATATTCGTCTACATTTTTCAAATCAAGTGCCGTTACGAAAGAGATTGACCTCGCGACAGACTTAAAGTTGAATGGCAACAAAGGATAGCTTTTGGTGAGCCACATACTTATTTGATTGACGTAATCGATGCAAATTTGAGGGATATGTATATGTTGTGGAACTTTAATAATTATCCGTCCCTGAAAATGGACAAGGATAAAAATGAATTGTCCCTGGTCTGAAGAACTAGTCGATGAAGAAATACTATTTGGATTATAATGAAAATAATTATTATTTATTTACATGATTGTTTGAAGTGACAGTCAGAAAAAATCTAAACTGGGGGATAAATAAGAGTTATTTGAATGATTTTACTTCATTATATATTTTCACGAAGATATTCAATTAGAATTACTTCGATATCACTCTCGACTTTAACGAGAATATATTGAATAATTCATTTAAAAAATTCCACCTTACCTACAGTTACTTTTTCAGAAGAAAGCAACGTATACATTGCATAGATTCTATCACAAAACCCTTTATCACCAAAAGTAAAATATGCCAGTGACTTTTTAGCTTGAAGGCATGCCATCATTTGAAGAATACCTGAAACGTTTAACACACGACGGAGAAAATAATTTAAGGTGTAGAGTAGTTTACCAAAAATCCAAAAAAATTGCTCAACACATATAATATATAAAAGAATGTTTTTCACATCTTTGAGTATAAGGTGCGTTTTACCAAAACTTAAATAAAAATAGCTCCATGGTAAGCGGTTAGCAATCTACGGTAAATACATTAATTGAAACGATTAGCGTTTAGGGACTGCGTAGTTGTTTAAAGCAAACTCGATACAAATGACACCAACAAAATTTCAGAGAAACTTAACCCGAAAGTCTAAAAGAATCTGTTACGTACATTTCAGTTCTACATCACCTCTAAAAGCACCACATCCCCAATTCCCAGTAGCTACAACTGGAGGTAGTTTTCTTTCAGGAAATAACTCGTCGGTAAACCCACAATATGCCTGTAAACATGAAATAACGAAATCAATGCAAAGAAATAAAACAACATAAAGTTTTCTACTGTCTAAGAAAAAAATTGTGCTAGATATCGAGGAATAAACGAAAAAAGTAAAACTTTGCCAAATCTTTTCCCGTGAATCAGTACATATGCCTGAACACCGATTACCACGACGTGCGATGCTAACCGGTGTTGGAGATGGTTGGAAGAAAGTTAGAGGCGGTCAAACCAAAACGTGGCATCAGTGCTTGAAGTCACTAACTTCTAGTCTGAGCCATATCGGTAGATGCAGACTACTTGGTTGGGGTCCGCGTGATTATCATAACCAATGGTTGGAGACTCTTGGTGACATGGCTCAGGATCGATCACAATGGCGTCGGTGTATACACTCTCTGTCTTCCATTAAACTAAGAGATTAAAATCGCTTCATATCTTTCTACGAACTAATTCTTTCTTCCTGTATTATATCCTTATTGCAATCTTTCTTTTACATATTACCACCTCTGAATTAACTACTTTTATGAATCCGGTGTTAATCTTGTTGTGTTAATGAGGTATGGCAACTTGGACCGATGCATATATGTGCCTGGTCTGACGTTGTAGCTGACTGACTGATATTTCATTAAATAAGTGGTTTGTGGTATTGTTAAATTTTTCGAACTATAAGCCTGCATTTAAGTTATACTACAAATGACTCAGTTTTGTACAGGCCGAGATTTCTCATTTATGGTAAGTTGTGGTCATGTAAATGATGTATACAAGCATGTGAGTCTTTAAGTCTGGAACAATACAAGGTGCATCGGTTGACTTTCTTGTGTTCTGGTTGAGGTGTTAGGGACAGAAAAATTTACATCCGCCAATCATATATATACCGTAGTAGTGGTGTGAGAATTCGTTATTGACGTAAGAAAAAAACATAACATACTGTCTTCAAAATTCAGTTCGAAAACAAATAATTTGCAGCACACAATGAAAATAACTGATAGTTCACTTCATGAAAACAATCAGACATCCTCCAGTTAACTGACTAATATGTTTTATACTAAACAAAAGGCTGGATAATTCGCCAAACGAAAAAAAAGTGAAATAAATAATAATTACATCAGTTTTTTTTTGAAATATGGATTAAAATTTTATTCAAACCACAAAAAGTTAACAGTACATCAATGATGCATCAAATAATCAAACAGTTAGTCCATACTAATCTATACAAGCCTATTATCAGATGATAGGTGATGGTGTACTATTAAACCCAGTTATGGAGAACAGTAAATAGACTGCTCTAAAATCAAACATGCTACGTTCTTTAGGTAAGCAATGTTATAACAACTTAAAAAAAGTTTTTTCAACCGAGATTATTACAAAATCAAATACAATTTAAATAAAGTGATAAAACCATAATATTACCTTATTTAATTCTCTTAGCATTTCCTCGACATTATACTGTTCCATAGGATTACTGTATTTAGTAGCATCCATTGCTACTACTGCATAATTCCATCTCCCCCACTTATCGCTAGTACAAATCAAGAAGAACTATATTCATAGTATAAATAAGCAATATTGATGAGTAAACTACTATTCAAAAGAACTGAGCTGAGCAAGTACGCTCTTGTAATTACAGCCTTTCGTCTACAATATAAACTAGATAGAAAAGAAATGTAACTACATTCTAGGTCAGTATGTTGGAAAATTGTGCTAATAACAGTGAAAATCACATATCCAATAAAAGACTATTAGCTTTCTTTATCCTATTATGGGACTTCTCACCATCACTCAGAACTTTTAAGCTGTACTGAAAGCACTTTAATCTTTGGATAACTTAATCATATCCAAGGAATGAATAATCACGCATATCGCGTTAGGCTAACCGAAGGGTTTTAAGTGAAAGTACAACTTACCTAAATGGTAAGTAATTCGCATTACAACACAAGTAGATTCAAGGTGAAGACATTAACTAATTGGTCAAATCGTATAGAACCCAATGTGTTTACCCAGAATAAGTGAACTTGAATAGTTGGAAAATGTGGAACAAAATAAATATGATGCAATGGTGGTCTAGCTTAGATCGACTCATGAATTTAAATATTGAAACTACTACAATCTCCACAAATCCCCATTCTGATAACGATTCAAAGGTGTTCTAGAAATGAATATCGTAACTAACTAATAAAGTCACCGAACGTCTAGAGAATCTAACATCCCAAACTGAATTTCAGAAGGTTCAGACATGCTCAGACAATGGAGGTCAGGGTAAACTAAATGTTTGTCATTTACAGAAGCTTATGGAAATCTAACTATAAGTTAATAATTGTATCTTACCAAGGACACTGTACTTTTTATATTCTCTTTAAAGACACGTATACTGAAGTTATTTGTCAGTGAACGTTTAGTGATTATAACAGTTAATCTTTTAAACCTCGCATTTTCAATTAACGATCGAATGTATAGGCAAAAGCTAACGTTGTTTGGTTGTCAAACTCTTAAACTGAAAGACTAAAATAAGTTTTAGGGATCTAATAACAAACATTTTTATGATAACCCATTTACTAACCGTGTATGAAGACGGGAAATAATCCGACGGATATCTTATATTCTTAATAACTCCCAAGTATCACATCCGGTTGATCAGTATTATGAATGCATGTGAAACTTACCGTTTCATCCCACTATCCGAATGAATAAAATCGCCAGCCCAACAGAAATCATCAGCATAGCCAGAACCTACGGAATACTGTTCAGCACCTTCAATAATAAGTGTCTCATCAAACCCCAGACGCTCGACAAATAAACAACTGACCAACAATTCTGGTCGTAAAGCAAACATAATTTCTTCTTGTACACATCCACTATTTAAAACACCACCACCGAGATAACTGTTGGCGAAATCAACCTAAAACATTTGAACATTTGTGAAGTTATTAATATTTTAAATATAAATCCTTGAAAAGCAGTGTCAAAAAGATTGATATTAAAAATAACATTATTATAATGCAAAAGATAAAAGCAATAATCGTGAAATCGTCCCATCGATTTAAACAGCAAAGAACTTATGTGTTAGTAATCGTAAAACAATCTGTATTATTGCACAAGGTTAGATCAAATGATTTGATTAAATTGAACAAAAGATAAGTATTAGTAATTGTAAGTGAAAGATACGAGATGAAAACAGAGTCGGTAACTTGATATGGTATCATCAACAGCAATGTTTTACTTACCATAGATTTATTCAAACACCTGTACACTAACACCTCACTTACTTCTACAGTGATAATCTTTCTTCAAAATTAAAGGAATCAAACCCAATAAATGGTGAGGACAGAATTAAAACATAAAATTTACACAAGGTTGTACTGTGGTGTGAGCTACTTATATTGATATAAGTAGTATATGACGTGCGTTAAAAGAACGTAATGTCCGGCAGCAGAAGATGGCGAAGATCAAGAAAGGAAGAGCAAGAGCACAATGGAATTGTAAGAAAACGCATGTACAATGGAATGGGCGACAATGGATTAGTGTTTGCAACGGGAACAGTACAGTTTGATATGATTGAATGATATTTTGCAAATTGACGATTGACTTTATGGTATTCACATTTTATTGAGATAGTCTGTAATTTTTGTGCTAAATACAATCGATTGTCCCCACCCGTGTTCTTGTTCACTACATTTGGTGTCGCTGCCAACCAGGAGAGGAGGAGTGTGCTGTTCTGCGGACGCCGTTGCGGGCTTGGGGTTGAGGTGCCAGTTGGGGCAGTCTGGTGCGGAGAGGTGGCGTCTGGTGAAGTGTCCTGGCGGGGCGGCGTTGGCTGTAGCGGGTGCTGTCGACGGAGTGGAGCGTCGGGACGCGCGGCTGCTGGGCGGACATCGGATGTAGATGGCTCAGCAGGCCGGTGGAGTGCGGATGTCAAGCGTCCCAGGTGCCGGGTGGATGTTGGTTGTTGTTTCCCCGGCAGGTCGACAGGGCTGTGGAAGTCAGCGCGCCGCAGACTCGACATCTTGACGGAGAGCGTGGCACAGACTGCAGAGACGGAGAATGTTGCACGGCAAGCATGAAGCACCACAAGAACGACTGCTTTAAGGGGGGGACGAGTGTGGTGTGAGCTACTTATATTGATATAAGTAGTATATGACGTGCGTTAAAAGAACGTAATGTCCGGCAGCAGAAGATGGCGAAGATCAAGAAAGGAAGAGCAAGAGCACAATGGAATTGTAAGAAAACGCATGTACAATGGAATGGGCGACAATGGATTAGTGTTTGCAACGGGAACAGTACAGTTTGATATGATTGAATGATATTTTGCAAATTGACGATTGACTTTATGGTATTCACATTTTATTGAGATAGTCTGTAATTTTTGTGCTAAATACAATCGATTGTCCCCACCCGTGTTCTTGTTCACTACAGTACGACTAAATCAATAGAAACATTTCTCTGTCGTATGTTATTTCTATTCAAGTAACTATTTCATTCGGTCAAAGGGATAAATTATGGATCAGTGGTCGTGTAAACCGACCTAGAGCTTTCATGACATAAGCTCCGCTCGAAATATTATTAATCGCAAAAGCATGTATTCACCAATTTGCATGCTGGATACGACTCACGTAATTGTTTTCCAAAGAAATCATCTGAGTGATTTATTTATCAACCAAAGGCCCTAGTATGGCCTAGGGTGAAGAGGGTCAGCTCCATCTATCAAAATGCTCACACGGCCACGCATATACAGCCACTGCCACTGCAGTATCACTCGCTGTATTCCCGTGGCGAGGATGTTGTTTATAAAATCGAAAGGACGAAAGTCCGGCGTTGAACAGGGTTCACGTACAACTAGGGGAGTTGGAAAGCCCTAATTCTAAACCAATGGTGCACATACACTCATACATTTATTTTTTTGTCAGTGGTTGTCACTATTTATTTGAACGTTATTTGATTATCATTTCTACTCTTTCACTTTAGCCTATTCCTTTACTATCATGCCGAAAAGAATGCGCACTTACTTTAAGTCAACTCCAGATAGCCAGTCTTTTGGCAAATGCTTTGTTTTGTACATTTCCTAGACGTAATTGTCACAGTCAAGATGCAGAATATGTTAATTTCCCTCAGATCAATTTCTCTCATTTACTGTCAGCAAAAGCCGACAGTAAATATAATACAAGCAGGTGAGTTTATCTATTATACTAAATCCTAAGTCATCTTCACGATTTACTGTATCTGCATTTCATGAAACCAGTTAAATCGCAATAATAATTATTAGCAAGCTATTATAGGGATTCGGTTCTCAATGCTATTTTGTAAGAAAATCTAACTGAAGTTAAGATGCTTATGTAAAATCTAAAATAAGACACTACAAAGCAAACGTGATTGCTTTCATTTTCGTCACTATATTCTTGTTGGTTACCCTTGTATTTATCGACTTAGAATACGCAGATGACATTGTCCTGTTTGGTGAAGACGCTGATAAAATGCAGTCTTTTGGTAGCACTAAGCAACAATGCCAAAATGTTTGAGATTCGCTTCTCCCCCTCTAAATGCAAGTTTTTGCTTCAGGACTGGTCTGCGTCAGCACCTGAACTAAGGATAGGGAGTGAAGTAGTCGAACGCGTCGACAACTTCACTTATTTCGGAAGCCTGATCAGCCCTAATGGGTTGGTGTCTGACGAACTCTCAGCACGGATTCGAAAAGCTCGCTTGGCTTTTGCCAACATACGTCACCTATGGCGAAGGCGAGATATCCGTCTATCAATTGAGGGACGAGTATACTGCGCGACTGTCCGTTCTGTTTTAATTTACGGCAGCGAAACCTGGCCATTAAGAGTATAAGATACTCGTAAGCTACTAGTATTTGACCACAGATGCCTCAGAGATATTGCTCGTATCTGCTGAGATCACCGAGTAAGTAATAGTGCGGTTAGACGCAGACTATTAGGGAATGATGGTAAATCAGTTGATGAGGTTGTGAATCTTCATCGAATGAGATGGTTGGGTCACGTGTTACGTATGCCTGAACTCCGATTACCACGACGTGCGATGCTAACCGGTGTTGGAGATGGTTGGAAGAAAGTTAGAGGCGATCAAACCAAAACGTGGCATCAGTGCTTGAAGTCACTAACTTCTAGTCTGAGCCATATCGGTAGATGCAGACTACTTGGTTGGGGTCCGCGTGATTATCATAACCAATGGTTGGAGACTCTTGGTGACATGGCTCAGGATCGATTACAATGGCCTCGGTGTATACACTCTCTATCTTCCATTAAACTAAGAGATTAAAATCGCTTCATATCTTTCTACGAACTAATTCTTTCTTCCTGTACTATATCCTTATTGCAATCTTTCTTTTATATATTACCACCTCTGAATTAACTACTTTTATGAATCCGGTGTTAATCTTGTTGTGTTAATGAGGTATGGCAACTTGGACCGATGCATATATGTGCCTGGTCTGACATTGTAGCTGACTGACTGGGATGCATCTGCGCCACTGCAAACGATTATGAGCCATGTCATCCGGGGTCTCTAACCATCGGTTTCTATCATCTCGCGGTCCCGACCAGGTAGTCTACACCTACCAACATGCCTCAGTCCACTTGTCAGCGGACTTAACGGATTAGTGCCACGTTTGCGATCTGGCCGACCCTAGCTTTCTTCCAACCTACTCCTACACCATAAAACGTCGCTCAGCGGAGCAGTCGGTGATTGGGCTACGTAACACGTGTCTCAGCCATCTCAACTGATAAAGTTTCACTACTTTACCAATCGATTTGCCATCCTTACCTAGTATCTGTTTCCTAACAACTCCGTAGTCCCAGGATGTACGAGCAATTCTTCGAAGACAACTATGATCGAATACTAGTAACCTATGAATATCCTCAACTCTTACCGGCCATGTTTCACTGCCATAAAGCAGGACGGAACGAACTGCTGCGCAGTAAACCCGTCCTTTGGTTAGTAGACGGATATCTCGCCTACGCCATAAATGACGCAAGTTGGCAAAAGCTAGCCGAGCCTTCTGTATCCGTGCTGAGATTTCGTCAAATACCAGACTACAAAAGATGATGCGACTCCCAAGATAAGTGAAGCGATCGACACGCTCAACTACTTCACTCCCTATCATTCGTTTAGGTGTCGATGCAACCCGATCCTGAAGTAACATTTTGCATTTCGATGGGGAGAATCGCATGCCAAGCATGCTTGCATTGTTGATTAGAGTGGTCAGAAGACTGCATTTTGTCAGCGTCCTCACCAATAGAACAATGTCATCGGCATATTCTAAGTCAACAAGTGAATCCCATCAGGCTCTGAACACGATGAAGAGCGAAAGCAAATCAGACCTAGGTTAACCAGAAGTCTAATGAACGACCGTGAGCAGTGGCGGGCAACGAAAGCAAAAGAGATGGAGAAGGCAGTGGCTGTAGGTAATGCAAGACAGCTTTTCAGACTAATAAAAGAAACTGGAATTAACAAGTCAAGCTTAAGTGAGACAATCTCGGAAAAATACGACACTCATATCTGCTCTCAGCCCAGACGTTTAGAACGATGAGTGGAACAGGAACAGTTCAGCTGGTCTCCAGCTACTCTACATTTTATTTTATTTATTTATTTGAACACAAATATTGATACAAGAGGGTACCGAATATATATGCGCCACACAAAACAATGAGAATTCGAATAGAAAAAGAAAGGTGAGGAGCGTAAAAGAAAAAAAATAAAACTAATAATAATAATAATAATGATAATAATAATAATAATAATAATAATAATAATAGGGGAAACGGAAAGGTACAACCAGGAGAAATCTTTCAGTTAAGGAAGATACAACCACTTTTTATGAAGAAAGTAAAAGAAGGTTACAGCAGGATTGCCACTGGCTTCTATTCTGAGCCATATGTGATAATGACTCTAACCACTGTGTTGTATCATCTCTCGGACCCCAACCAGGGAGTCGCGAAAGACCAACAGAAGCCAGTCTTGTAGATCCTTCTTTCTTGTCACGACACCATGTCGTAGACTGACCACCTTTCCACTTTATTCCAACCAGTCCCAGCGTCGTCAACTAGTGCACGACGTAGAACTCTCTGAGACGACATTCGTAGAACATGTCTAAGCCACCGAAGTCGGTGTTTCAAGATAGTGATACCAATTGAATTATCGTCGCTGTGCCAGAACAGACGACGCCAGACCTCTGCATTACTAACATGGTGTTGCCACTGGATGTCAGTAACCTTTCGGGGGCAACCATGATCAAACACAGAGAGTCGTCTAACATCCTCAACTCAGAGAGGCCAGGTTTCGCAAGCATAGAGCAGAACTGATCTCACCGACGCGTTGTAGATCCGATCTTTTACAGCCATACTAACATCACGAAGGCGCCAAAGATGGCCCAGACTGGCATAAGCCGCACTGGCTTTCACTATACGTGGATTGGTTTCATCACTGACCCCACTACCAGCACTTATGCAGCAAGATATCCGTCTATCAATTGAGGGACGAGTATACTGCGCGACAGTCCGTTCTGTTTTAATTTACGGCAGCGAAACCTGGCCATTAAGAGTATAAGATACTCGTAAGCTACTAGTATTTGACCACAGATGCCTCAGAGATATTGCTCGTATCTGCTGAGATCACCGAGTAAGTAATAGTGCGGTTAGACGCAGACTATTAGGGAATGATGGTAAATCAGTTAATGAGGTTGTGAATCTTCATCGAATGAGATGGTTGGGTCACGTGTTACGTATGCCTGAACTCCGATTACCATGACGTGTAATGCCTACTAATGTTGGAAGAAGGTTAGGGGCAGCCAAATCAAAACATGACATTAGTCCATAAAGTCACTACTTCTATGAATCCGGTGTTCATCTTGCTGTGCTAATGAGGTATGGCAACTTAGACCGATGCATATATGTGCTTGGTCCTACGTTGTAGCTGACTGACTAAATATCCCGGGAGAAGTCCAACTCTTAGGAATTCAGATGAGGAAAGTGTTATCTCTAAAAGCACGTCAATAACAAAGTTAAAAAAGAATGGACAGCCCTGACGAACACCACTTGAGTTAATCAATCCTGATGACGGTTCGCCATAAGCTCTCACTCGACCAGTTGTGTCCGAGTAGAGAGCCTTTATAAGGTTAATGTACTTCTTTCGTACTCCTTTCAGTGACAAACACTGCCATAGATCCTCACGATCAACCGAGTCAAATGCCGCCTTAAGGTCGAGAAATACTACTATTGTGGGACGTTTGGATGTGTGTCTATGTCCTAGGACCTAACGTAGTGTGAATATCTGGTTTATACAGCCACATCCAGGTCGGAAACCAGCCTAGTTTTCTCTAGTCTGCTTTTCACGGGCTTTATTTAGGCGTCGAAGTATTGTTGAAGCTAATATTTTAGACACTATATTGGTCAAAATGATTCCTCTGTGATTGTCACAAGAGGACTTTTGTCCATTCTTACAGACTGGCACAATCAGTGACTGAGACCAGTCAGATGTGATTACGTCCAGTTCCCAGGGCCTGTTTCTCTTCCTTGCTTAAGATTACATATAGCTTTTTTAACTTCGTAGAGTTAGAGGACTTACATCAACTTGGCATTCAGGTCGACTAGAGGATCGCGGGGGACCGAAATATGGTTGAAGGCCAGTTGAACTTATCCCTAAAGTATTCTGCTCATCGATCTAATCTCCTGGATTGAGCGTGAATAATATGTCGATCTTTTTCCGAGATAGTTTCGCTAATAGTTGAATTCCTAATATCGGAAATTTATATATATATATATATATATATATATATATAGTTTCACACGAAGATTTTAGGGTATCCGCTAGTGTACTACAAGAAGTACAGTCAGTCAGTCAGCTACAATGTCAGACCAGGCACATATATGCATCGGTCCAAGTTGCCATACCTCATTAACACAACAAGATTAACACCGGATTCATAAAAGTAGTTAATTCAGAGGTGGTAATATATAAAAGAAAGATTGCAATAAGGATATAGTACAGGAAGAAAGAATTAGTTCGTAGAAAGATATGAAGCGATTTTAATCTCTTAGTTTAATGGAAGATAGAGAGTGTATACACCGAGGCCATTGTAATCGATCCTGAGCCATGTCACCAAGAGTCTCCAACCATTGGTTATGATAATCACGCGGACCCCAACCAAGTAGTCTGCATCTACCGATATGGCTCAGACTAGAAGTTAGTGACTTCAAGCACTGATGCCACGTTTTGGTTTGATCGCCTCTAACTTTCTTCCAACCATCTCCAACACCGGTTAGCATCGCACGTCGTGGTAATCGGAGTTCAGGCATACGTAACACGTGACCCAACCATCTCATTCGATGAAGATTCACAACCTCATCAACTGATTTACCATCATTCCCTAATAGTCTGCGTCTAACCGCACTATTACTTACTCGGTGATCTCAGCAGATACGAGCAATATCTCTGAGGCATCTGTGGTCAAATACTAGTAGCTTACGAGTATCTTATACTCTTAATGGCCAGGTTTCGCTGCCGTAAATTAAAACAGAACGGACAGTCGCGCAGTATACTCGTCCCTCAATTGATAGACGGATATCTCGCCTTCGCCATAGGTGACGTATGTTGGCAAAAGCCAAGCGAGCTTTTCGAATCCGGGCTGAGAGTTCGTCAGACACCAACCCATTAGGGCTGATCAGACTTCCGAAATAAGTGAAGTTGTCGACGCGTTCGACTACTTCACTCCCTATCCTTAGTTCAGATGCTGACGCAGACCAGTCCTGAAGCAAAAACTTGCATTTAGAGGGGGAGAAGCGAATCTCAAACATTTTGGCATTGTTGCTTAGTGCTACCAAAAGACTGCATTTTATCAGCGTCTTCACCAAACAGGACAATGTCATCTGCGTATTCTAAGTCGATAAATACAAGGGTAACCAACAAGAATATAGTGACGAAAATGAAAGCAATCACGTTTGCTTTGTAGTGTCTTATTTTAGATTTTACATAAGCATCTTAACTTCAGTTAGATTTTCTTACAAAATAGCATTGAGAACCGAATCCCTATAATAGCTTGCTAATAATTATTATTGCGATTTAACTGGTTTCATGAAATGCAGATACAGTAAATCGTGAAGATGACTTAGGATTTAGTATAATAGATAAACTCACCTGCTTGTATTATATTTACTGTCGGCTTTTGCTGACAGTAAATGAGAGAAATTGATCTGAGGGAAATTAACATATTCTGCATCTTGACTGTGACAATTACGTCTAGGAAATGTACAAAACAAAGCATTTGCCAAAAGACTGGCTATCTGGAGTTGACTTAAAGTAAGTGCGCATTCTTTTCGGCATGATAGTAAAGGAATAGGCTAAAGTGAAAGAGTAGAAATGATAATCAAATAACGTTCAAATAAATAGTGACAACCACTGACAAAAAAATAAAAGTATGAGAATATATGTGCGCATCTACAACATGTGACTTTTGAGGTGTGAAATTTTGTTGACTAGATTTATTTTCCTGACCGTGTAGAAGGGAAATAAAGGTCGATGAAAGCTGACGTATGACATGATAAATAGTCCTGTCTGCAAAACTGGCTACCCAAACTGAATGGCAAATTAAAGAACTAAGGACCAAATATACCCGATAAGAAAGATAAAAAGCATTTTCAGAGAACTAAAATACCACATCTTGTCATTTATTTAAACACAAATATTGGTACAAGGAGGCACCAAGTATATGTGCCCCACACAGCATTCGATTTGTGTAAGGGCTGGGATACTACCCAGATCCCCACACTTCAAACCTTTGACCCGAAGGTCTAATCTACAAGACGGTGGAGCAACGTTAGGAGATGCAGTCCCACGGTATCCGGTGACCAACAACAGGTTTATACATCATTTGTTCCCTGAAGATCCTGGAGTCCATGTGCACCATTGGTTTAGAATTAGGGCTTTCCAACTCCCCTAGGTGTACGCGAACCCGGTTAAAGCGCTGGACTTTCGTCTTTTCGGTTTTATAAACAAAATCCCCGCCACGAGAAGACAGCGAGTAAGACTACAGTGGCAGTGGCTGTATATGCGTGGCCGTGTGAGCATTTTAATAGATGGAGCTGACCCTCTTCACCCTAGGCCATACCAAGGTACTTGGGAGCAAAACTGAGAGTCAGCCGCATCCTGTTTTTCCCCAACTTGGAGGTGCTAATAGATTTGAAGGCCAACAAACAACAAGCACATGACCTACCCTTGGGACTTCTAACTGAAAAATTACCTGAGTACTTTAAATGTTAACGGTTAGCAGTGACTTTACACTAAGGAGTACGTGAAGTATTGGCTCAATAATTAAAATGGAATTTGTCAAGCCTTAAATTGAATGCAAAAATATGAGAATAGTTCAAAACTTTTTAACATGAAGATAATGAGATACTAGAAACCCGTGTTTTATTTTACTATGGTAAGTGGGGGACCTTGAACCGGAGCATTATCACACTAAACCCCACTTTAGATATGTTTACCAAATGAAGTCCTAAAACATGTCAAGACCAGAGATTTCAGTTGCGTGACTAAAAACTAATAGTCATTATTGCAGAAATAAAACACATCCAACCTCTGACCAAGATTAAATCTTTCTAAGGATTTTTCTACAACATTCCAATCAATCTAGTACTTTCTTTTCAAAAAGAAAACTAGCAAAGACATTTTAATTTTCAAGAGTAAATTATAAACCATTGAAAAACAGCTAATTACTTTTGTAACAAAAATAGGCAAATTTAGTGCTAACGAACAAATTCCGGAAAGAGTGTTACCGAAGAAATTATCGTTTCCACCATCGGGGATCAGGTTCATCATACATAATTGTTCTAATGTTTTAAAATTCCAGTAGGATTTGAAACGATAGTTGTAGGAGAGAATAGCTTCCTAAAATAAATTAAGAAGAATGTGTGACCTAATCATTTCTCTTATATACCATACAAATAGCAAATCTGATTACATGAATGACAACATTGTTAAAATTAAAATGAACAAAGTTTTTTACCTTCAACTCGTCAGAAGATTTTATCTTATTTCTCAATGCCTTTTCAATCACGACCCATCTAGAAATAAGACTATTAGCACCACCCTAAAACATAAGCCCACTGAACAATCTTACTTCATAAACCGGATAAACACTTTCAGGAGAACATGGCATACGAACAAACAATCCGTTCCACTTATCCTGATAGTCATCAGGATATGGTATAGGTGGCTTTACAGGGTTACTGTCACACTGAAATGTTATCAAGTTCAAAAAACACGACTTACACGAAAGAACACCTTGTGTGTTCGTGAAGGTTGTAGAGGAGGTAAACATGGTGATGATGAAGTTAACTCATCTAAAGGATCTCCCTAGGATAAGTGGTAAAAAACAAATCTCAAGAATTTACTTTGAAATACTGGACACATTTTAACGACTCAATCATTCAAAGAACCTTTGATTTTGTAGGAATTGTGACAGGATATCTATGGCTTGAACAAGTATCACTTACGCTGATGTATTGTGTGCCGAAGTTGTGTAGAGGAACGTGTGGAAACCTGAATAGCAAGAGCGAGATTAAGGACATACGATGAGCTTACAACCGATAGCCAAGTACTCCTTTGTTTCCCATCCACTTCTTCGGAAGAGCTAGATTGTTTCAATGTATTTTCTTCCCGTTCAATGGTCGCCAAGTCTATAATTTACGGGAGACCAAATGAGATTTTGGATAGCAAACCCAAGACTTCAACACAGAAATAATTTATCTACATAGCCAAATCATATAGCTGATGTCAGTTTACGATGACAAGCCTAATTTATAACTATAACATTAACGGTTAGTCCTAATCTTACTTCTCCCATTGATTCATAACTATACTTAGACTCTTTTAAGTAGTCATAGTTTCTCAACTCTATTTTCATGTCGCTTGAAGTGTAGTGAGCAACTTAGTCAGTTGACTTCCCGTTGAAGTAAGTACCCCGATGAGATGCGTATAAATTGTCAGCTCGATTACCGTCTAATTATTTGCAACTGTTCAGTTAAAGGTATTGATCCAACCAACTAAGCAATCAATAAGCTTCAATCAAAGGTCGTTTCTATCTTACCGTGTTGCTAATGTTACAAAGATTGTCCATAACTTATAGTCCCACCGCATTGAGAATAATCGAGATGGCAACATACACAAATGTCCGAAGACAATATGACATAATAGATTATTGCTACCTTGTAAACCCATTTTGGACTTGAGTCTAATTAAAAGGACAGTGGTATTTTTCCTCGCTGAGTGAATTCCATTTTTTGACCGTTTATTACGTATCAAGACTACTGTTTTCACTTTAATTGAATTTATTTCAGTTAAAGTATTCGATTAGAGTATCGTTTCTGTTTCTATATTAGTTTGTCATCGGTACTTTTGAGCACTTTGTTTTCTATTGTATCTGTTAGTACTTTTTGTACTAACGATCTACAGTTTTCCACTTTTTTGGTCATTGATCATTTTTGTCTGAGTATTATTGCATCCAGTTCTTTTTTTAAAAAGGACTCCTGTTTAATGACTGGACAGTGCAAAAAACCAATTGCCAACGTCCGGGCTGTCGTTATCGCGTTGAAAGCGGCATGCAGTGCGATGAGTGCAAAGGCTGGTACCACGAAGTTTGCACGAATTTAACGCCTGCAGCTTTCAAACGGTTCAGCAAAAACGGTTGTGCATGGCTTTGTCAACAGTGCTGTTCGGATGCAAAGAGCTTGCTAACCGAGGCCATCTCACTGGTAAATGCTGATGCAAAAGTGTTTTGGCAAGTATGGTCGGGACACAACGAACAGTACTCACTCTGTCGACACGCAAATTGATGTGAAGCAAACTCAGGTGAGTTTGAAAACAGGTGACTCACACCGACCAAAAGAGGAAAAACAATCTTCAAAGAGGTTTGTCTTAACCAAAAGCTCAAGAAAAGAAGTTTCTTTTGTCTCCCGTCTTCTAAATGGTATCCAGCAGGAAACGCCTGAAAGCCGCAATCGCATGGCTCGATCAGTTTCCAGCGGGAAACACAACCTGACCTCCCGAATCGTCGACAACCCTCCGGAATCTCACAGTATGTTTGACGCAACTATTTGCTTCTCATTGCAACGTTGACGAATGGGTACAGGTTTAACGGAAGAAACAACATAACGATATAAAAGGGAATCCTGATCCCATAAAAGTAGTCGAGAAATCGAAGGCTGATCACAGTTACAGATCAGTTGTTTTTCATAGAATCAAGGAGAGTGAAAGCTCTGAACCAAAAACTCGTTTTGAGCATGACATTGTGCTGATAAAACAGCTACTTAATCAACTCATGCCTCAAAATATCCCCGGAGTCACCTTGCTAAAGGTGTACAGACTAAGTAGCCTAGCGAACTTGAAGCCTAATCAATCCAGACTGCTTAAAGTAGTATTCAAATCTTCGAATGAACGCGACTTAATTTTACAGAATGGACATAAATTAAAGGGTTCAGGAGTTTTTATCCGTAAGGACTTGCCGTTGGCAGAAAGTGTAGAAAGACGGGAATCCGAAAAAGAACTACAACTGAGGTTTAAACGCTGGCGTAAATGACATAAAAATTTCAAATTTTCGGGTTGTAAGGCTTAGACAGAGAATGATGCCCAAGCCACTATGGGTGAAGCGCGAAGCCACTTAAATAGGCTTCGGATCTCTTACACTAATGCCCGAAGCTTACTCAATAAGCGATTGGAACTAGGTGTACAGATTGACTCTACAAAGCCAGACATAATCGCAATCACAGAAACCTGGCTGACACAGCCTATAGATAGTATAAAACTTGATTTCGAGGGTTTTACGTTAGTAAGGGCCGACAGAATACAAAAGCGTAAAGGAGGAGGGAGTAGCTCTATTCATTAGGTATGCTATCCCATTTGCCATTACCGACAGTGTATCCCATGAGTGGGACGTTTGAATTAGTTAGTTGCCGCTTGAAATGCAAGGGACAAGAGCTGCTGATCGGTTTGGTCTATCGCAGTCCAAGCTGTGACGTAAATGAGGTCCTGCTAAGCAGTCCAAATACTTGGTCACAAAGTGGTCGATATCTAATCCTAGGGGACTTTAATGCACCTATGGTAGACTGGGAAAATATGCGAACTGAGTCGTCAGAAAATTCCTTCGAGTAGGGACTAGTTGATGCGGTTATCACATTTGCCCTAGTGCAACATGTGAAAGAAGCGACTAGGTACGACCCAGACACTGAGTCATCCTTACTAGATCTTATATTGACTCACTATGAGGATGATGTTGCGAACCTCCATTACATGCCACCCATAAGTAAAAGTGATCACTCAGTTTCAACTTTCGACTTCCATATAACTGTCAATCACGAGCACGTGTTAGCTCAATCCAGACCTAATGTCTGGAAAGCAAGCATACCAGATATCATGCACTCAGCATCGTCAGTAGACTGGACAATAAACTCAGAGTCCTCAATTGAAATGGCTTGGGACGCATTTCGAAATTTATACTTAAAAGTTACCACCCACCCCACACATCCCTAGGACCATACCAAGGTGGTCGAGAAACTCTCCACCATGGTTCGGTGGGGAGGTCCGCATCCTTCTTCGTAAGAAAAGAAAAATGTGGGATAGATTTGGGTTACTGAGGACTGATGAGACAAAATCTCAGTATCGAAAAGCTTGGAATACCTGTGCCTCGACCCTCCGTAAGTCTAGAAAGTTGTACGAAGAAAACTTTTTAAGGAATCCATAGAATGTCCTAAAAGCTTGTATTCCTATATAAACCAAAGGACAAAAAGAAGAGGAAATATTCCTGTACTGTGGGGAGACAGTACTGCCTTATCATTAGTGGAGGACGACTTTGGTAAGGCTCAAGTGCTCTCGAACTACTTTAGCAATGTATATACCATATAAACACCCTTCCCGTCAGTGCATACAGATCCCCCCACACATACACTGGATAGCGTGACCATTAAAGAACTCGATGTCTTTGGTCTGCTAAATAAGCTTGACAAAGGTAAATCCACGGGGCCAGATGAATCACATCCTAGGCTACTGAAGGAATTATTTAGCTTCGTTGCGAATCCTTTAAGTATATGCTTTTATCTATCCGTAACGCAAGGTCGTTTACCAAAAGACTGGAAGAACGCTATAGTAAGTCCCGTCTTCAAAACAGGTACGAAACATAAACCTGAGAATTACCGACCCGTTAGCCTAACTGGTGTGGTTGTTAAAACCTTAGAAAAGATTATTCGGAAGGAGCTGTTTAAGTACCTCGATGAAAACCGGATCCTTTCGGAGAAGCAGCACGGTTTCAGAATAGGTTACTCTTGTCTCACTAACTTATTAGTGGCTCGTGAAAGCTGGTGCGTTCTTAAGGACCAAAAGTTACCTGTAGACGTAGCTTACATTGATTTCAGCAAAGCTTTCGACAAAGTTCCGCACAACCGGCTGTTTTATGAGCTAAGAAATTTCGGAATTAGAGGCAATCTATTGGTGTGAATAAAATACCTCCTAGTTGGGCGCCAACAAAGAGTACGGGTCAACTCAAAGTTATCTAGCTGGGAAATTGTGCTTAGTGGAGTGCCCCAGGGTACAGTTTTGGGGCGTGCTATTCCTCTTGTATGTAAATGACCTTCCTCGTCTCCTATCATCATCGGTCTTGCTATATGCTGACGATGTCAAGATATGGAGAACGATACGATGTAAAGGTGATAGCTTAGAACTCCAAAATGACCTGAAGAAATTATCTGGTTAGTCTCAAACCAGGCAGTTGCCGATAAATACTTTCAAGTGTGTTGTGATGCATATCGGTCATCAAGGCACAGACAAATACACGATGAATAACACTGAGGTACCTATCGTTCAGACACATAATGACTTAGGAGTCATCGTTAGCCAAAACTTAAAGACTACTGCACACTGCCGTGCAATAGCCGCCGAAGGTTTTAGAATCTTATGGTCAATACCTAGGGCTTTTAGTCATGTCGACGCTACAACGTTTTTGACTTTGTATACAGTATTCGTACGTCCTAAACTTGAGTACAGCACACAAGCGGCTAGCCCCTGCTTAAAAAAGACAGTGAGCTTTTGGAAAAGGTTCAGAGAACAGCAACTAAGCTGATTCCCGGAATAGCGAAGCTTCCGTATGATGCTCGACTGACCAAGCTAAACCTGTTACCGTTGCCATATCGTAAAACTAGAAGCGACTTGATTAGTTTTCAAATTGCTTAGTGATGAGTCCGCACCTAATATGCTCTCATTTTTCGTCTTCCAAAACAGAGAATTTACGAGGACACTCCAAAAAAGTTCAAAAGCCCAGAACAAATTACTCGTCAGCTGACTATCGACTTTCCCATCGAATCATCAACGAGTGGAATTCATTACCTCAACACGTGGTTGAGGCTCCATTCCTCGACTCTTTCAAAATAAAGTTGAATCAACT